TACGATAGGCTGAGAAAAACATGCAAAGCTAGAATTTAGAGCATTAAGCTGCCCTTTATGTGGAGACTAGATATATTAGTCAATTATATGAGTAAACTGGCCATAGCGAATTGACCACCCTCGGTGTAGCGGTGAATCGAATAGTATAGAACGGGTAGCCAGTCGCAAATACTGGTGCATAATCATTAATACACTGAAATTATACAAGAAAAGGGATCATACAAAATGGAAAAATAATTTAGGAGAGAAAGGGAAGCAAAAGCAAGAGCCATAAGCTATATAAGATAAAGGTAGTCAGAACTAGATAGGCAAACGAAGTGTGTGATTAGAATGATCTAGTCGATATTTTCGGGAACCTAGGAGTTACTAGAATCGTCACTCCGGTAGTGCCGACAATCGCGTAGGCAGCGAGAAATAGGGTTAAGCACTCCAGCTTACTATCTACCAGATTTTAGTGACATATATTCAACCCATTTTTTCATGATTAAAAGTATATTAACCTAGACTATCTAATTCGCGGACTTTTCAAAGGCTGGTTTACCATAAGCTACGACAATCTCACAGCCTTCCAACCCTACTTACACAATCCTCGTACCCCCAGCCATCACATCGTTTAGGGAAATACTTCGGAAAAGCATAGATTAGTCTTGTTAGTGGAAAGCCGCTTATCAAAGCCTTATATTATAAATAATCGAGAATAATCAACATTGAACTAAAGCCTTAGTATACAAGTTATAAGGGAGGTTACAAAGAAATTCCGAACGACATATAGGAAGGTCAGTGACTACCTACTTACCTACCGACTAAAAGTGGTGAGTATTATAATCCCCTCGATCGAGCACGAGCATAATAGCTATACCTACCTCCTCTTCTATCCTTACCTTTTGAAAGTCCGAGCGAGACTATATGATTCATCGACGATATCTGCGGACCGTGGTGTTAACGCAATAGGGCGCAGACAAATATTAATACTAACAACCTCCTAGAGTCGGAGAGCAGCTAGAGCCCCTTAAGTAATAAATCATATCTATACTCGTACACATTTACCGGTTATAAATGGTCACTCTACATCTCGTAGTAATAACATATTTAATTTACAAGTATTAGCTTCTACTACTTTATACCTTAAAAGAAGTAAAACCATTCTTTTTGCCAAATTAGAAATAGAATGATATCAGGTTACATGGCGATTAATGTAATTAGATTATAGATATGCTTTCCACCTAGCGGTAGTGCTTATTTAAAGCACTCTCTTAAGCTAAGGCGGGTTAAGCAGCTAATACTTACAATACTAATAGTTCGTGACTAAACAATACTTGTTCCCTACATACATAACTAAGTATGTAATTTGCCCCGAGAATATGGCTGTGCAGTAATATAATATGGCTATATGGAGAAACTCGATTTACCTGACAGAACTCACATAATCCACGGGTGAGCTATCAGTATGGACTAACCGTAGGGCTCCAACATACCAGTGATATAAATATATGAATTACAGTATAGCTTCAGATCTTAACAGCGTGCCTATTTCGCCTATAAAGATTTTTATAAATGCATTCGTGCGTATTAATAACTCCAACATATAAGATGACTACAGCAGGTGTACCTCTAATTATCTTCCATTTCTTTCTAGTCCTAATACGAGCGGTACCACCTATCTCCCTAGAGTTTAGTTAACCAGGCTAAGTGAATTCAAACATCTTAACTACCTTATAGCCCCGGAACGACAACAATCTATTATATTAACAGTGGCTGGGTGAAATCCCGCCAATTTAAACATATCGAAGGCGATATTAATTAGAAAAGGAAAGCACACTAGAAGAACATACGAAAAGTACACAAGCCATATAACCTATATTTCAAAACCTAACTCCGCCAAAGACTAGGGAACAACATAAAAATTCAGTACTATAGCTCCTACACTAACCCTAGCATTCAAGACGTTAAGATAGCGCTATTCCTTAACCTTATATATAAGTCTAATAGGGTTGTCCGCAACCTAGAAGCTAAAACAACACACAAGCATCAATACAATTAACTATGAAAATTTTAAACTCCTAGAATAGTGTACAGTATAGGGTCTATCTCATACACGGCTAGTCTTTTACGTCGTGCGACTTTAAATAGTCATATATTTTATTTCTCTTTTCGTACGTCTCGTCATTTAACTATACCTAAGGACAACTTCCTAGGGCCCCCGCCGATTATTAGACAGATAGATTACCGAAATAACTCTAACGATATATTCTACCAACGCTAAGACTTATAGTTTACGCGAAGAAGGGTAATTGTCGTTACTAGATCTTATATTTTAGGCTAATCTCGCCGATCGCCTAGGTTTAGATTAATAACCGTCGTTTAAAAGTTTACGTTTTAAACATCCCGTAGCGGAGTCAAGTGGTGGTTTTCCCTTAGAATAAGCATCTTTTTCCGTTACTTCCTAGGTGATAGTATCGCTAGTCATTAAAGGTATACGTAAACTATTACTAGTCGTAGGTAAATATAGACTATACTTAGCTAAAGATAGTACGGAGAAGGTAAGGAAGACTTTTAAGTCTACCGTGTCCGAATAAAAGTTCAGAACAACACTCCTAAAGAACTCCTTTCGTTCCTCATAATCTAAGGCTAAAAAGGGCTAGTTCTTATAGAGTTCAATATAGATTCGCCCTATAAAGCCGTACCGCCATTTAGCCCCCTACTCGCGTTATACCCCGGTGGATTTAAATATTATAATTCTATCAGACCGTTTACGAGATACATAGAAATTAATACCATAATTACCTTAGGGGCCTAGAGGGGAGAAAGTGAGAAATACACTTAGGTTTTCTCTATCTAGACGCACAACCATAGCACCTCGCCCGAGGAGAGTATCGTCATTCTAAAAATTCTCTAGGCTATAAGATATACCTAATAAGAAGTCTATTCGGAGTATCACTCGGTTAATAACAAAGGTTTCCGGCTAAGTAGCCCCCTTTTTCGATTCCGGGGCATAGAACCGTATAATCACGCGGCCTTATTCGCTTTCTTCCCTTAGTTATTTAGACCTCTTCAAGTTTCTTAATAATGTATTTTCTGCAAAATTTATGCGTTAGTAGTTACATTAGGCGTATACTAGATAGTACGGAATCACTAACGGGGAGACTAGATTCTATTAAAAAAAGATTTAGCGTGTAAACAATCAGTACTTCGATAGTGCTCCATATAATTATATATCTCGGCTAGTTCATCGCCGATGGTAGTAGACGCGGAAGAATCCTTAGTTAACGCCGCTTTACTTAAATACTTAATTCGGTTTATATTATCCGTTACTTCTTACGATAACCTATAGGTCGTGTATTCTATATTATAGGGATTAATTAAGAGACTTTTCCCGGAGGAACTTTCGGCTATCGACGTCTCTTCTAGAACGCCGTTACGGGTTATCAAAAGAGTATTAGTTATATTTCGGTCCTCTTTTAGCCCCTTTATCTTGGAAGCTTTTCCTTACTTAGTTCTCCTCTCGCTTCCTAGTAATACTTAAGATTTAGCGTAGTAGGGTCAAATCGTTATTAATTAAGCGTACCTTTATAGTCAATCGCAACGCCCTTACTCCCTATAGCGCTAAAGGGATCGTCACCGAGATTCTAAGTGACTTTTAATGTTTAGCGGTCTAACTAAAGCTGTTCGACTGACTGAAGACCCTCTAGATCCTTAGAGTCTATCGGTCTGTTAGACATATAGATAGAGGACGAATTAATGGCTACGTTATGCTTCCCTAGATAGGCAATTTTTCCACCAGTCAAAGATCTATAAAATTCCGGGGTAGTCATTATCTTAGTGTCGGCATCGGAATCAAAATGGTCTGGCTCATCGCGAAGCCAATCCTCCTTAACCTGGATTATATTGGAATTAGAAGCCGAGTTTGGTAGAGTAGGTTTATCTTCGATCAATATAGGATTGGCTAACGTCCCTAGCTCAGGGACAACCATAGAGTCACATAAGGCCATTTCAGACTATTCACGCGATTAACTAGGTATTGAACAGTAGACAGAAGTGGTTCAGCTCCCTGGTGATATGATTAAACGGAGGGCGATGGTAGCGGTTACTTTGATAAGAGTAGGCTTGAATATATACCCCTCAGTGAAAGTGACACCACTTGACTCTAGGACGTTATCACAAGTTCTACTTCCGTTCCAAGTTCCTAGGAATCTAGATAGTCATAGATTACGAGCGAATTTGTGAAGGAGATTTACACACGTCAACAAAATGGCGCAAAGCCGGACGTTCCCAGGATCATCCAGACGGCTTCTCCGCCTGGAACAGTCTACGAATCAACCAATCAATCATCCGGCAAGTTCCCAGGAGCAATCTCTTCTGAAATATTGTATTCTATGGAGATTCGTGTTTGACCAAGCATGCGTTCCGGTACGTGTGCTCAATGTAGAAAAAAGATGCCCAGAGTAAGACTTGCGGTCTTCCAGTATGTTCATGTGATATCTCTTAGACTAGCTCCTCTATGGGCAGTGGAAACCAACAGGCAAGGGTTCCCAGGAGCACACAGATGATTTAATAGGTTGATCAACCATACTGAGGCGCAATGACTACCAAAAATGAAACATCAGGTTCTTGATGCCAATGCATTTGGATGGGACAGTGGGGCCAATCTAGAGAAAAAGAGCTTCACGTGGATGGGGCTAGCGCATTGCGTTTTATTGAGGTGCCCTTATGCTCAGGGCAGGGTGTGCTCAGTGAGCAAGTCAGAGTGCTCAGTGAGTGGATCACAGAGCGCTCAGTGAGCGGATCAGTGAGCTTACATAATGCTCACTGATCAGGTCAGGGCGCTCAGAGGCGTGCTCAGTTCTACTCAGTGAGCAAAAGCGGCGAGGGGCTGAGCACTAAAACGGAACAGGAAAGCCACGACCTGGCATAGGAAATCCGGTACATAGGGAAGATTAATTTGAAGTACTTAAATAAGTTAAGATCGAATGTTGTGACGTAATGAGACAAGAAGGGCAGGGCTCGCGGTTCACGTGGGCGGTCGGAACCCCCCAACTGACCGGCAGAAAACTTCGATGACAATCTCGAGCTTGCTCTCCTTATACGCGATAGCTCGACATTCTCTGGTTGTTTCCTGCTATTTTCAAGTCAATTGACCCTGCCCACTGCTATTGTGGGCACCGCCATCACGTCTCTTCCATCTTCTTCCGTTTTTTTCCTTCGTATCGTCGATCGATCCGCAGCTGGTCCTGCTTTTGCCGCGCGCCATCCCTGCGCCCGCTTCCGCCTTTACTCCCCCTCCTCATCTCCCCACCTTCCACCTCTTCTCTGTCGCTTCTACTCCAGCAAGAAGAAGAAATCCAATAAAATGCCTCCCAAGAAGGCCCAAGTTCAAGAAAAGGTCCTGCTGGGCCGCCCCGGCAACAACTTGAAGAGCGGTATCGTATGTGAGCAATGACCCCACCCTTTGTTTTTTCCCTGGTGGTTTTTTTTCGCACAGCACAGTCCACTTTTTAATTCCACGAAAACTATTTAAGCCTCCTTCCGCCCCCTTTCCTCCTTCTCCTTTTCTTTTCTTCTTCTTCACACTCCAACCACACAATATTCCCCTTTCCCAGAAGACTCACAATGTGATCTATCTAGGTTGGTCTTGCCAACGTCGGCAAGTCGACGCTCTTCCAATCTATCACCAAGTCCTCTCTGGGTAACCCGGCCAACTTCCCCTATGCCACCATTGACCCTGAAGAGGCCCGTGTCATCGTCCCCGATGAGCGGTTCGACTGGCTCTGCAGCCACTACAAGCCCAAGTCCCAGGTGCCCGCCAACTTGACCGTGTATGATATTGCCGGTCTGACCCGCGGTGCTTCCACCGGTGCTGGCCTGGGTAACTCCTTCTTGTCGCACATCCGCGCTGTCGATGCCATCTTCCAGGTCGTTCGTTGCTTCGACGATGCCGAGATCATCCACGTCGAGGGTGATGTCGACCCCGTCCGCGATCTGACCATCATCAGCGAGGAGCTGCGCATTAAGGATATCGAGTTCGTCGAAAAGGCCCTCGAGGCCCTGGGCAAGCAGACCCGCCGTGGTGGTCAGTCGCTGGAGATGAAGAAGCTGAAGGAGGAGGAGGCTACCACTGCCAAGGTCCTCGAGTGGCTCAAGGAAGGCAAGGATATCCGTGAGGGTGAATGGGGCCCCAAGGAGGTACGTTTGAAAATCCTTTTCTCTTCCCCCAAATTTGCACCCCCTCCCCAAGAAAAAAAAACTCCAATGTTTTTATGATGAATAAGCGCTTGCGCGATAATCCCAGCTCGTTGAATCCCTCATTTTTATATCACGTTAGAGGGCATCTTGAAATTAAAGTACTGCACTGAAAAAAAACATTGGAGTTTTTTTGATCTCAAACAAAATCATCTCAAACTCTTTTTCAGTTGACTCGTGCTGACAAGAATTGATTTCCAGGTCGAAGTTATCAACCCCCTGTTCCTTCTGACTGCCAAGCCTGTCGTCTACCTCGTCAACCTGAGCGAGAAGGACTTCATTCGCAAGAAGAACAAGTACCTTCCCAACCTTTTCGCGTGGGTTAAGGAGAAGTCTCCCAACTCGCCTATTCTTCCCATCTCTGCCCAGTTCGAGGAGCGTTTGACCCAGATGGGTGACGATGCTGCCGCTGAGGAGGAGTGCAAGAAGCTCGGCACCGCCTCTGGCCTGCCCAAGGTCATCACCACCATGCGTCAGGCTCTCAACCTGGCCAGCTTCTTCACCACTGGTGCGGATGAGGTTCGCCAGTGGACTATCCGCAAGGGCATCAAGGCCCCCCAGGCTGCCGGTGTTATCCACACTGACTTTGAGAAGACCTTCATCCAGGCTATTGTATACAACTACAACACCCTGAAGGAGCTCGGTGACGAGGCTGCCGTCAAGGCTGCCGGTAAGATCATGACCAAGGGCAAGGACTACGTCGTCGAGGACGGTGACATCATGCTCATCAAGGCTGGTGCTGCCAAGTCTTAATCACGTTGCTGTAGCTCAATAGTTGATACACCTTGTCCAAAAATGATGATACGTTTCTGTACACAACTTTTCCATTGTAAAGAGTCATAATATACGTAGTGTAGCTGGTGTGAGCTTTAAGCAATCCGATGCCCGAGTCGCATTCCACATCATCTCGACAATTCTACGCCATCTAGCTTGGCTTCGAAACATTCCTTCCTAAGTCTTTCCCTTATTCCTCGACGTCTCTCGCCGCTTTGAAAAACCATCACGTGACCATCCCCGCGCATCCCACTTCGCGTCCTCGGAGCATCCCAATATATCCAACAACCAGCATCATGTTCAAGAAAGAGTAAGTAATACCTTTGATCGCGTGAAATCACCCACTGGTTTGCTCTAGCTTTGTTTTCAGAGCTTATCCTGCCTGCCGAGGTCGAGCAATGGATATCAGATGTCTCGCACAGGAACAATCTCCGAAGACAGCTCTTCGACAACATCAGAGCTACATTTGCACCTTCCACGAGCGAACACTGAACCTATACCCTGCTCAGGATATGAAACCCATTTCTAACATCTATTTCTGGCTGCAGGATTCCATCGAGTAACCGCTCCAAGGTCAAGTCCTCCGCAGCCCGCGCCTTGCGGCAGAAGCTGCTGGAGACTTACCCCGGCTTCGAGCCCTACATTGAAGAGATCATGCCCAAGAAGGCCTCACTCGAAGCCGTCAAGCTGTACGCACTACCCTCCTCACAGTCAACTTCTCTTATTTCCAAGCCCAATCCATCCAATCCCCACCAGCAATTCCTCCCCATCCTAATCATCTACCCCAAAAAAACTACTTTCCCTATACCCATCGACAACCCAAACTAACACTTCCACCTTAGACCCGAACGCGCAACCCTCTACACGATAGACTCAAAACCCCTCTTCTTCCAACGCTTCGACGACCCCCCAATCCCCCACCTTCGCCTAATTCACGCCTTCCCCACCGCCCTCCCAACTATTCAAATCGACCGCGGCGCAATCCGCTTCGTCCTCTCCGGCGCCACCCTGATGGCTCCCGGTCTGACTTCCCCGGGCGGCCGTCTCCCGGATGCGGAGCATGCGCTTGAGGCGGGACAAGTCGTTGCCGTCAAGGCCGAGGGGAAGGAGGAGGTTTGTCTTGTTGGTGCATTGAAGGTGGGCACGGAGGAGATGAAGAGTAAAGGGAAGGGAGTTGTTATGGATGAGGGTCATTATTTGGGTGATGGGCTTTGGAACTTGCAGTTGGACTAGAGGATGCGTTTATGAACATATTTGGGCTGTTTTTATCGTATCGGTTGGTTGCGGATACCCCCGATGGTGATGATTTTTATGTTGGTATGAAAATGAGAAAGATATGATCTCTTGCGTCCTTGATACTTGACCTAATGTAGTGGGTGGTTTTGGCCTGGAACCCTGGAAGACAGGGTAAAAAGTAGTTTGATGTGTGTCGCTCAAGGGTGAGGTTATCTTTGTGCTTCAGGCAAGGCGCATATTAATTCTTGTTAGGGCTATCGTCTTGAGTTTGAATGTCAATTACATCATGGTTAGCAGCTGAGCGAATGAAAGAACAGTGCGCTAGATTAACAATATATACAGTAATCTTCAGGAGACATGGGTCTGGATAACATGCTCGACTAGACCATATGACTAACTCATGAGCCGTCACGACTATCCACAGAATGCGGGTATTCATCGGAAACCTCTCCGTCACGCCCGTTCAGGCGCGGGGAAAGCGACGCAGTGGGAGAAAGAGATGACCAAGACGGTGTGCGAACTGGAAGACTTAGCCCAAGGCCCCTTACACTAGCCGCTGACGCAGCTCTTGACCCTAAGCTCGGCTGGCCACCATTGGGCGATGGCCTTGGGCTTGAACGCAAGCCGACGCGGCCAATTGCGCGCCGCAACATTTCACCCGAGGAATCAAGTGCGATCAAGAACCGGGCGAGCTCGCCGCAGAGCTCCCAGTCCCCCTTTTGAGATGCCAGGCCAATAAGGCGAACGACATATTCTTCGATATGTCCGTCGTGGCCATGTTCTTCTTCATCCTCGAATGCTTGGAGCACGAGCAGGTAACCAACGGCTGTTTTGAGTGAGTCGAGCCTGAGGGCTTGCTCGAATAGATCTTTTGGTGGCGGGAGGTATGTGAAGAGGGTGCGCCAGAATCGGAGTTCTGTCTTGCGTGTACATTGTACAACGATGTCGAGATAATCACGTGTTGGGAGGGATGCCTGGAGGAAGGCAATGACGGTGGGAAGGAGGGGTTCTTGGCGGACGATCGGGCGATCGGCCTTGCTAGCACGGCTTTCGTTATCTACTTCATCGTCTAGGACGTGGTGGAGTAAGATTTCGAGACCGTGGGCGAAGTATGATAAGTGAGAGAAGTGTCGGCCTAGAGAGAGCGCAGCCGGGGTTCCAAGATGGACGAGACAGTACTGTAAGAAGTATGGGAGGAAAAGGTGTGTCTGGAACGAGTCAGCTGATGATCGACAATAATAAGACAAGCATCACATACTCGAATGGCGAACTTTAGGCTGGTGAAGGTGACGTCTCGGCGTTGTGTCATTTCGGACTCCACTCCGAGCACCACGCCCTTATTCAGGATCACTGACAGAGGATAAAAGTCCAATGGGATATTCAGCGGTGTAGGCACGGTCTCTTGCTGCAGAATGTCTTGAACGTCATTCCAAGCCAGAAGATTCTGACCCCGGAACATCCACAATGAGTCTCGAAGAGACAGACTGTTGTAAGATGGCTCAAGAGCCATCTCGGCAGATGGGCTGGACGGTAGAGACTCGTCGATCTGAGACGAAAAATTGAAGGAAAGTTGGTCACGCATCAAGATATAGTACTCCACATCATGGGAGATGACCCGCATGTCATATTTGAGATCGCCACTTTCTGTCACTGTGGGCTGTAGGAGAACTAGGTTACCATCAACTAATAAGAGGACGGATGCTACCTTGACGTCCTGAGAAGGATCGCCATTCCCTGTTGAGAAAGATGTTAGACGCATATCCAAGAATAGAAAGGCCACGTTAGAACTACACTCACGCATTTGATCCTCAGGCAAGACCCAGCTGATTGCTCGAACTCGAGTTGGCGCTCTGACAATTCCATTAAAGGCAATTTGTCCAACTGGAACCAGAGTGATCTGTGTCTGCATGGAGTTGATGATATAGTGATAGAGGATGTTGTCATAGGTGTAGACCAAGAGCGAGTCCTCTCCGGAGGGGCCAATGAACACCACGGGCGATGGGAGGTATTCGATGTGCATAATTGAGTTGTTGGTTAGGGTATCCTCGCGAGAGTAGAGACGGAGCTAATCATGATTAGACTCCATTGAGCAAAATTGAAGCTTGATAGTGAACCAACCTCGTATGAGCCATCGCTCTCGACAGCTGCAATCAATATATGTCCGTACCAACACATGCCTCCTCGTACAGCAAATGAATTTTCCACTTTAGAGTCCTCGAAGACTTTCCATCGGCCACTGTTGACACTGTAATGTGCTAATCCACGTCGACCCGCGATTGCAACATACCTTCCGTCCTGAGACACCACGCAGGAACGAATAGGCCATTGCGAGTGAAGATATGCAGGAGGATATTGGGCATGGTGCCAGAGTGAGTCCTTACCGGAGATGGTCATTAGATCGGGTAGGTCATGTCCGCGGTATAGAATGAACTCTGTCCCTGTCTGAAGCAATCCCCGAGCCAAATTTGCGGCGGAGAAGCATCCTGTCAAGGCGCTGCGCGCTATTTCTAGTATCCAAAGACGTCGATCGTTCTGCGCTGACAGGATAATGTCGGACCCGCCACCTATCCAGCAGCCATTTGAGACGCCCGTGAGCCAATCCTCTCCGTTGGAAGTTGCCAAAGTAGGATCGACGGAGAAGCTGTTGCCGCCAGGCTTTCCGAAGACACTCCATGTTGTCCAGCCATTTTCATAGCCGGCGAAAAGGCAATACCCATCGGGAGAATAAGTCATGAATGTCAATGCTCCGGTTGATGAAGGAGACGCGGGAAGATCCAGCTTTTGAGAAAGGGGCACGTTCCCCGTATAGTCTTTGGCGGTGTAAACCAGGACCTCGCCATTTGCGCAGCTGACTGTCAGCAAGGAAAACCGGGCATTGACTGCTACTTTGACAGCCTCTTCTCCCCCAGCTTTGGGGTCATGGAAGCAGTGGCCATGGAACAGCTTCTTCGGCACATTGGACTCCTCTTGTGACCCCGGTACCCGCTGAACTGCATAAGCTTGCCCATTGCTGGTGAGCCAAATCAGAAGGTTCATGGCGCGGTCATAGACCATGTCAACAATCGAGACCTTTTTTGGAACATTCAATATCCGGTTGAGCATTTCAGACTTGGTCTGCGTGCCAGTGGCTTCCGGGGCCCAACGGATGCACTGAATAGCAGGTGGTTTGACCGTAGCAACCACGAGCTCCTGATCCAGTGCCAACGCTTTGACAATTCCCGACTCAATCTTGATAGCCATCCGAAACCTGATGTTTATATCTCCTACCACGTTTGCCTCTTCGACAGCCGAAAAATGTGCTAGTTGCTGGCGGCGCGGATGGGTGGAGTGATCGAACATCTGTTGATAGACTCGCGTCGCAGGGTCCGAAGCTACCGAATATGTGAGGAGATATCCATTGAGTGTCTGCACAACGAGGATTGTCGAGTCAGGATGCATAAGAATTGCCACATTTGGCCCGTAGGTCGTCAGCGAGTATGCAGACCGAGCTATCGCAGCTACAACTGCCGTAGGCTGCCGCGCGCGTTAGTACCGAGCTTAATGTTGAGTGAGCAGAGCTATAGGCTTCTTCAAAGACGAACCCTGGTCTGCCATAATGAAATGGAGGAGTCAGTTATGGTCGCAAACATATGGCCCGAGCGGGACACACAAAGCCCACTGATAGCTTCTTGCTCCCATTGGGAAGCATCCGCGTCGGATGGGGGTCCTTCGGGATTGAGATCAACACCCTGGCCTTCTGGATTCTCCGAGTTGCGAACGCCATCTATTGACTCTTTAGAATCTAAGGAGCTTCGATGTTCCGCCAAAGAACTGCCGGTACCCTCGCGATTCACGTCATCCGAGACATGGGCAATGTTGGGGCCGTTGACCGCATAGACCCGGGGCACTCCATTAGGCCAGTACATGGCTCGGCTCGCAGGGGGGAGGGTGTATTAAGACCGGCGCTGGAGCACACATGGAGTCATTGCGCTCCAAACAAAACAGTCGTAATTCAAGACCAGACTCCACCGGCGCGGAGGAAATATCGAGAGGCAATCAAAAGGAGCAGTTCCCAAACAGTCCGACAGTCTGGGCCAACAGGGACGATAAGCCGTATCACGTGCGGGAGCTTCCCCCCGCATTGTCTTTTTTTCCTCCCCTGAGCTGTCGACAGCCCCTCCGTTCTCAGTTTTTTTTGTTTCTCCAGATATATCTGCCATCATGGTAAGGAATCGCGTACCTGGATAGATATTGAACATTTCGAACTGACAGGATTCGCTTTCGCAGGCTCCCACAGAAAGCAAGAAGCGCCTGGCCCTGGCCATCATCGACTTCCTCGGCTCCAGCCTGAAGGATGGCACTCTCACCGCTGACGATGCCGAGTCTATCGAGATCGCCCAGTCCTGTATCGCCGATACCTTCAAGGTCGATCCCACCGATGAAGCTGCCGTGAAGGAGGCTGTTGGTGGCCAGTCTCTGGCTAGCATCTACAGCGTTTACGAGAAGCTGCGGAGCAAGTCTACCCCTCAGCCGGCAAGCGCAGGAGCCCAGGAATCACAGGAGGAGAAGCCCAAGGCTGGCGCGCCTACCTCAGAGTCCGACAAGCTGAAGTCCGAGGGCAACTCTTACATGGCTAAGAAGGATTACGCTGCAGCCATTGACTCGTACTCCAAGGCCCTGGAGATCGCCCCGGCCAATCCGATCTATCTCTCCAACCGCGCCGCCGCTTACTCTGCCTCCGGCCAGCACGAGAAGGCCGCCGATGATGCCGAAGTGGCCGTTGCTGTTGATCCCAAGTACTCAAAGGCCTGGAGCCGCCTCGGCCTTGCTCGGTTCGACATGGGCGACTACCACGCTGCCAAGGAGGCTTACGAGAAGGGTATTGAGGCGGAGGGTACCGGCGGCAGTGATGCTATGAAGCGCGGCCTGGAGACCTGCAACAAGAAGATCGAGGAGGCCAGCCGCTCTACCGACCTCCCATCGGAGGAATTGGATAGTGCCCCTGGCGCTTCTCGTGGTGCTGGCGGCATGCCCGACCTGTCTTCGTTGGCTGGCATGTTCGGCGGTGGTGCCGGTGGTGCTGGCGGTGCCGGTGGTATGCCCGATCTCGGTTCTATGATGAACAACCCCATGTTCGCCAGCATGGCCCAGAACCTTATGAGCAACCCTGATATGCTGGGCAACTTGATGAGCAACCCTCGTCTTCGCCAGATGGCCGAGAGCTTCGGGCAGGGTGGCGGTATGCCTGATATGTCTGGCCTCATGAGCGACCCTAACATTGCTGAAATGTAAGCTTCGCCTCGCTTGCTGACTTTTTTCGTCCGGTTTTTGCTAATAAGATGGATTTTAGGGCCCGCAACATGATGGGTGGTGGCGGTGGTGGCGGTGCTGGCCGTGGCCAGTAAGCTACGTATTGGACGACCGATGGATGACCTTTGATAATAAAAAGACACGATCTTGATGCTTTTGTGGCGATCTCAAGTTTCAGCAGCGTTCTTTAGAAATGAATGATTCTCGTATTAAATCTCTCAAGGATACCAATCCCCTCTCCCCCTAGCATTGAGAACTAATCAAAATGCATTAAACGCATGAGATATATGGACCTCCACATTTCAAATCAGTGAGGAACCTCCTGTCTATTCAGCAGATACGTGTCACTCAAGGGATAGTCCAAATAGCCTACCGCCGACTGAACGACATAGAACGTCTCCCTCTTGTACGGGTTGAGCTTCAGCCCCTCCTTCACCCTATAAATGAGGTCCGGATTTGATATAAAAAGCCGTCCAAATATGACGATAATATCATTGTTCGGATATTTCCCGTCCACAAGCGTTTGTGCCTCCAATGGTGTATACCCACCAGCTACAAGAAGAGGGCCGGTCCAAAGATCGTATGCGAAATCCAGTCGTTCTTGCGCATCGGAGTCCGTAGCTCCGGAAACACGGGACTCCACGAGATGGAGATATGCGATGTCCGACTGACTCGCTTTTTTGATGACGTCCGTAAATTGCGGAATTGGGTCGTCCATCCTCATCCCTTGGAATGTACTCCAAGGGCTCAGACGAAGTCCAACACGCTTGGGACCAATGGCACCAGCGACAACCTTGATGACTTCGTCGAGAAGACGAGATCTGTTTTCCAAGTTGCCTCCATAGTCGTCCTGACGTTTGTTGCTGACGTCTTGAATGAATTGGTCAAGAAGGTACCCATTGGCACCATGGATTTCAACTCCGTCAAAGCCCGCCCGAATGGCATTCTTTGAAGCTTGCAAGAAGTCGCCAACCGTTTGCTTGATCTCTTCGATGGTCATCTCTTGAGGTACGGCGACACCTTCTTCAATGGGGATGGCACTAGGTGCCACGATAGGAACGCCCTCTTGTCGGGCTACTTCGACATCCGCAGCACGGCCCATTGCGAAGAGCTGACAGAATATGAAGCATCCACGGCGGTGGACTTCGTCGGTGATTGTCTTCCAAGCCGCAATTTGGTCTTCACACCATATTCCTGGTGCATAAGGGAAGCCTCCACACTTTGCGGATACGAAGGTTCCCTCGGTGATAATCAGGGTGCCAGGCACTGCAGATCGTTGACTGTAGTACTCCTTCATCATTGATGTCGGTACTCGATCATGGCTTGCACGAAGGCGCGTAAGTGGAGCCATCCCAATGCGATGTTGGATCTCCATATCGCCTATCTTGAGGGGCTTGAAAAGACGGGATTGAGAAGTCATGGTTAAAACTGTTTCTCATGCGGTCGATTCTCGAGTGTGAAATGAAGAGTAGAAGCGTTTCTTCCCTTTCGCCACGGGAAGACCAAGGATTTTATACTCATGATTGGACTCAAGGCTGGAGGCATCTTGATAGTGGACGTCAATTGCGTTGTACAATTATGGTATGGAGATATTTCTCAAAAAGGAAGAAAGATACTTCCCTTATGGGTAACGTCGAGAGGCTAGTCCATCTTGGGAATAGTCCATGTGTATCAGGCCAATCATTGCGCGCGCCACCGGATTCCGTGAGTGGGCGCGGATTTGCAACACATTGCGATTACAAATAGCTCAGTATGATACAGTGGGTTGTCCCGGCTAATCGTACTTGAAATATTACTATACTACCGAGGTGTGTTGATTGAAAGAAGCAGAAAATCGTTGATCATAGCAAGCTCTTTTGAAGCCTCCAGGGTTAGCGAGTCTTCAGTAGCCTTTGCCGTGTGGTTTGAATCACTCTAATAGATATTGAACATGATATTCCTCCCAGAACGCCTTGATCTGCGACATGAACGCTTTCTCGGACCAAATAAATCGCTGGAGAATGATACGCAGCTCTGCCCATGTAGTACACAGGCCTTTAAGCCTAGTGCTGAAGTTCAAATGCAACAGGTCAACGTAGGCCATTCGGATAGCCCCTGGAGGAGCAAAAGCGCCACCAACGTGGAGAATCCAGATTAGTAGCTCCGGCGAATGATTCCATATTGTATCTTGATTTGTATCTTGGAGCTTGCCAAGTAGTTGCAAAGAAAGATGGGACTAATATGAGTGATCCGAAATTAGAGGAGTGACCAACAACCTGCGCGATAAACGTACGGGAATAGTTGAAGTGCGCCAAATCTTGCAGCGAAGCATGGTTGAGCACAGATATGCCGCTATTTGACAACAGTCCGAGATAGGCGAGAGTGAAACATCGGGCAGATCCACTAGCCTTGACTGGATAGAGGCCTGGTGGTTATCAATATGGGCCATTGATACCACATCCTCTTTGTCAAACAGAGCAGAGTCTCGAATGCATTGCAGTGCACATATGTCCTTGAGGATTTCGACAAAGCCTTCGCTCAGTAAGTGAGACTGGGCTTGGAAACCCGCAGGCAAGGTGAAAAATTCTGGTGAAAATGGATCCCGTTTCCAGTGGAGCTCGGAGAAGGTTGTATGATCAACAACTCGGGTCGAGCCTGCGATCACTGCAGCGTTCAAGTCCGACCTGTGAACGTATATCAGAGTGAACCGCCAAGAGATGAAAACTTCTTCGCGTACCAAAATATTGCACGCTTGATGCCATCACTTAAATAGACACCTTTCCTTTGGCACACTTCAAGGAGTGAATGAATTGCCCCCATGTGAAGTTGTACCTGACGTGGTACTCCTTGTTGAGCCTACGAGACTTTAGCCACTGCCAATGTACGCTTGAATTCAAACGGACCTCTACACCAGCGAGGAGTAGAATAGAACCCAGTGTCGACTCCATGGTAGCTTTGTTTGGAGAGCCAATCCTCTGGCGAACAGAACTCAAGGCAGCATTTTGATACTCCAAGCACTCTCTATCGAAGTGACCAGCGTTACTTGCGAAGGAGAAGGTGAGCATGATGGCGCTCAAAAGAAGATCATCATCCGGCCCTGTTCGGAGAATTGGACGGAAATTTTGGAGCACAAGCTCATCGGAAGCACTTAATGCTGGCTCAATAGGCTTTTTACTTGTCCCTATAAGCATGTAAATATTGCGAGGTTCAATCATTCAATTTGTGGATAATTTACCTCGATTCAGTAGCCCATGCAGTTTCGGTGATTCTGTAGCAAGCCAATGGAAAAAGCCAGATGAGGCCGAAAAGGACATGTATGTTTGATTAGCAAGGGCTTGGGTTGAGTTTGTCCGGCTTCTGGATCGTTTATTGTTAGTCTTGGGAGATGACATGCGAAAGTTATGACCCAGTTTTAGCTGCGCCTTTCGATTGTTCTCGAGACCTCTGGCTACAGCATGCGATCGTGCTAGACGCCTCGCTGTACCGTCACCATTTGAACTTTGTATGGTAACAAAATGATACGGACTCCCTATAGGGGAAAAGTTTCAACAATGGGACGCTAGGTGTTTCAACCTTGAGGCTTCTACTTACTGATACCGAGCTCCTGATGATCGACCATCACGATGAGTACCCAAAAGCTTGGTTTCGCCTAGTCGAACTTATTTGCAGTCCTTTCTATCTTAAGAGCTTCAAAATAGGGAAGAGCAAAGGCATAGCTAGAATTGATGCGCTATTGAATGGATGAGGGTTGGTTGGATGGCTGTGATTACAAATCGAAAATGTGTGCTTCCGATCCTATTCCGGGCAGTTATACCATTTGATTTCAGACACAGATATCGCCACCGATCGGGAGTGCCCGTTTATTGACTTCCCTGCCAGGCGTCTCAGAGCCCCGCTCAATATAGAAATAAATGCAGTTGTTTAGAATAATGAGACACGAAGAATATATTCTTCTGATATATATTTACACATAATTTGATGCAACTTCATCTGGCTGATATCTGCACCGTCCAGATCACAAATCACATACGAGTGCACCCAGCCAACGAAATCCAAAATAGCCAAACCGAATGGCCCACGTGTAGATCAATCAATGTCGAGGGGAGAGTGAAAATGCAAAAGCACGAGACGCCATAAAACACCTCAAGACCAAATGCCCATCAGATCAGCTCAAAGTTTCAACGCAGCCGCATCCGAGTCTATGGAAATGGGAGGGGTGTTTTTTTGCTTGCAAGACCCGGTTGTTAGTAACACCAACAGGTTGACAAGATAAAGAAAACAGAAAACAGATGGAGAAATGAACATTAATACATGAAGAATGAGAAAGAATCTGCAAAGAGAACAAGGTTGACACCGTGGCATCCGAGGGCAGACGTGAACCGTAAACAAGCGCCAGATCCGCCCGTTTCAGTATCAAGTAATCATATTGTACAGTCGAGAGGGCGAGAAGTAAAGGGTTATAGGGACGAGGATATGGCCCAAACAGGAGGATATAGTCTTGGGCGAAACAATCGGCAGGAGATCGCGTAATAAGAAATCCGTTGGACGAGCTTAAATGTAGTCACGAGCGGCCTTCTGCAGCTCGATCAGTCTCCAGCCCCGGGTCTCGGGGTTGCTGACTTCTTCAGGGATACGGGTCAGGCCAATAGCATAGGTGACCAGCTGAACCTTGTCCTCCATACCAGCAGCGAGCTCATTGGTCTTGACATTGCGGTAGACGTGGACTTCCTGGGCACGGCAAGTGACGACGAAGACGGGGATCTCGCCAGGCTCCAGCAGACGAGCATTCGAGATGTCAACACCACGGATATCCAGGATACGACCGTCAGACTTCAGACCGGCAGTAGTGTATTGCTTAGCAAGAGCGGCGTAAACGGAGAACTGAGCATCGGAGAGCCAGAGCTTCAGGGTCTCAACGTCACCCTTGACGTAGGCATCCAAAACCTCGGGAAGCATGTATTCACGCAGCTCACGCAAGAACTCCTCCATCTGGAAGGTGGGATCAATCTCGCGGAACTTCTTGACAACCATAGCAGTCTCATTCTCAGCGAAGAAACCACCAATTCGGTCGGTTATACTGCGAGCAGTGCTGATGAGGGGGTTCTCAGACTCCTCGTACACATCCCGCATGGCGAAGAGCTTCTGCATCATAGGGTTAGAGTCGCGGAAGGTGCTCCAAGACTCCTTCCAAGCGGCATCCTTGTGAAGGGTAATGTTGGTACCGGCACTAGTTGAAACCTTGAGTTAGTTTCTGGTCAATTTCAACCGATGACAATCCAATGCTTACTTGGGGTCCTCCTCCATAGGCTGCATGGGGCGCTTGCCAGCCTTAATCTCCATTTCCTCACGGAGTTGGCGTTGCTTGCGACGCTCCTCCTTCTCAATCCATCCACCGTAGCGCGAGCTACTGCCATCATCAATGGCCTCCTTCACGCTCTTGAACGCCTCAGTCTCACGCACGGGTCTCGTGGCTTTCTCGAGTCCAGCACCAGTAGCGCTGACACCTTTGCGGACACCTTTGACGACGGGAGTGTTCCAAGTCCAGGAAGCACCCTTTCCAATAACCTGACCGGTAGTCTTGAGAGCTTCGGATGTGCGGGTAGTAGCAGCTCCGGAAGCCGCCTGATAAGCCGCACGAGCGCGCTTAATGTTCTCGTTTTCGGAGAACTCGTGTGCAGAGGAAGCAAGGGCCTTGGTAGACTCGTTCCACTCCTTGGAGGCCTTGAACTCGGTCTGAAGGGTGTCACGGAAGACTTGCCAGGGCGACTTGTCGCCATGGGGTGGCGGAGGTGCATCTTCCTTCTTCTCCTTCTTCTCCTCGCCTGATTCATCTTTCTCGCCTTGGGACTCGGTCTTCGATTCGTCGGACTTCTTCTCGTCCTTGGATTGTTGCTGCTGCTGGAAGAGAGGAGTGGCAGCGTGGAAAGATCGGGTCAAAGGGAGGGCGGCGAACGGCGAGACGAGCTGGGACACTGGGAGCTGGCTCGACTGGAGAGCATTCTTTTGGCTGTTACCAGACAGCTTGGGCAATGCCGAATATGAAAGAGTCCGAGATCCTTGAGAAACGGCTCTGAAGGCCGGGGCCTGGGAGCGCAAAGTCGCCGCCCGCGCGGCGGTAGACATTTTGGCGGAAATCATGCTCTAGAATAACGTCGCAGACAAGATAGGTATAAAGAAGCGAGAGAAAAAGAGCAAAAGATATTCCAGCCAAGCCCGGATGTTCGGGGTGAGATTGTTGAGAAGCGGAGGTTGGACCGAGGAGAGTTGAGTCGGGGAAGGGAAAAAGTCAAGAGACGCCAAGACTTTCGAAAAACTTCCAGTGTTTCCTTTCCGCCTCTCGTCGGTCCGATCACGGCTCGCGCGACACTTCCGGCCAGCTACGGTCACTCTGCTCAATTAAGTTACTCTCAAACAATTCCATCGCCGGGAATATTTGCCTCCAAAACAATTAGCGCCCTTTGTCGATTTTATCGCCGCATCTCTACCTCTGCGTGCCCCATCCTCGCCGCGGCATCGGCACCCGTCGCCGCAATGAACTCCTTCTCCATGAAAGCTCTTGCAAAGTCATTGCCGGCTGTATGCCGACAATTTCAACCGCGTATCGCATCTCTCGGTGCAATCCGGCCCTTTTTCTCTTCTTCAAAGGACGCCTCCAGCCTGAAGGAGAAGACCCGAACGATTGAGAACCAGATCCTTGATCGCCAACCCGAATCCGCCGAGAACTCTTCGCCGCTCTCTGCCATCTCCAAGATGATGACTGGAAGCCGGTCTTCTGCTTCTTCGCGTGTCAGCGCCGACTACGCTCGCCTGGCTGAGAGCCTGGAAGCCGACATGATCAAGAACCCCTACGCCGACCGTGCCCCTCCCCACCACCTCCACGTCTTCGCGCACAAGCACAATACTATTCTTACCTTGACGCGGCCGAATGGCAACCCAATCTTGTCCATGGGCACTGGTCAGATCGGTTTCCGCAAGGGTGGCCGTGCCGGCTTTGAATCCGCCTACCAATTGTCCTCCCACGTCGTCTCGCAAATCCAGGAGCGAGGCCTCTTGATGGATATCAAGCGGCTAGAGATTGTCTTCCGTGGCTTTGGCAAGGGCCGTGATGGATTCACAAAGGTGCTGCTTGGTAACGAAGGACGCAAGATCCGGGGTCTTGTTAGCCGAGTGACTGATTCGACTCGTGTGAAGTTCGGTGGAACTCGTAGCCGCAAGGTTCGCAGACTGGGTTGATTGGGATCCATTTCCTGCTCTTTGTATTTCTTCCAGATCCGAGGGGCATACGTACGTGCTGGCTTGTTCTTTTTATTTGATCTCATGTGGAGCGCTATATATCGCATGTGGAAGACCACTGGGCCTTCCTTTCCCACTGTATTACCGGCATACATGCTGCCATTGGATTAGTTCTCTGTACAATAGCCAAAATATTTTTCTCTTCCAGCAGACGTACCGAAGCTCATTCTTTCAAACATCATTATTTTCCGTTCTTCAGGAATGACCAACCTTCAGGTCCAGACCCTGGCATAGAACAAGTCCTACTCTTACCCGAAATGGCATAGCGCTGCCAGCTCCCGCAGCGATCACGTTCTCGAACTCCCTGCTCAACTCGATTCGCGTTGCGCCGGTGTCCTGCATTTCATTTCTGCGGTCTTTTATTGTGCTGCTTCTTTCGATTGATATCCAAAATCCGGCATAGTGCCCTATTCACTTGGCTGCCGCTGATAAAGACGTCTCTCTTACCCCGGACTGCTGCCTGCAGCTGAATGCGCCGGAGCTCTTCCCCGCGAAACACCAACATTGCAGACCAATCCTCCCCCACGGCTCCATACTCGATTCGCACGACTTGATGATTGCCGGAGCTCTTATACTGGGCCGTCCAAAACCGTTTGGATGCACCCTCTAAACCCTTTCCTCCGTGCCTTCTTCCGAAGCACTGTTCCGGGGCAGTGTATACCCGTGGAGAACCATGTAAGTTCAACTGCTGCACCCCTGCGGATCGACCGGAGCGACTAATCCATATGGATTTGTGTGCATCTCAGGTTCTACTTGTTCCCACGACGGAATGCCTTATCGGCTCACGCGACCGGGAGTCCGGTCTGTACTACTCGGACCTTGTCGCGTCGGAGGAGTTCCTAGGGAGCCATGTGCTGCGCATCCCAATCAACCCCGCTTCAACAAATGGAAAGGAGGAATCCAATGTACGCGATAACAGGGGAAAGGCGAAACAAGTCACGACGTTCAATGGGAGGACCGTGATCATCAAAGAGAATTCGGTGTACAGCAACAAAGGTGGGATAAGCGCATAAAAGAGCTTACGGAACATACTGCCTGAGCTAACTGACAATCTATCTCCAGGCTTCAAGTCCCTCACCCAAGCCCAGCTCCTCTCCGATGCCCTGTACTATACCTCCTCTAGCGAGTCCCGGCCATGGCTCATATACTACATCTCTCGCCCTTTGGTCGGGTCGTACGATCCCGCCAGAATCATTCCAGCCGCGGTACCAGGGACCAAAGCGAAGAGGATAGAACCGGCTCAGTCTGATAAGAGGTTGACTAACGGAGGATCAATCGCGCCGCCGAAACAGGAGATAAAATCCTTTGGTGATCTTCTAGCAAACTTCCCGATGATTGCAAGACAGATGCAGCCGGGACTGGAAAGGTTATTCCGTGAATTTGGGAAAGAGCTGGGTAAACCATTACCTCCACCGCCATCTCGCTCACCTTCTGCCTCTGGGAGCGAGTCTGAAAACAGGCTATCGCGAGTGCAGTCCCTGCAAGATGAAAGCTCGTCCATTAGGAGCTGGTCATCTCGTCGCGGCCGGCTTCCCTTCAATTCTGAAGAATATTTCGAGGATGATGAGGACCTCATGCGTCGTAGTCTGGAGACCGCAGTGACTGCAGCCATTGATCTCTTCCGACTCGTTGACAAACAGCAGCTGTCGCTACTCGGGGCCACTACTGACCTTACGGGTCCTTTGGTCGAATCACTTATCGAGCGTTATGTGGCAGAACAAGTACACGAACCGCTTCTTTTCCCTCGCTTGTGCGCTTTCCGACAACCAGAGGATTCAGAGCTGGACTCTAGAATCCGGCACATGGAGAGCATTGACGTGACTCAAGTTGGCATCTCGGTGGAGGGTGGACGTGAAGGCAAACGGGAAGTCATCCGGCGGCTTGGCCGTGGAGTGGAAGAATTCCGCAAGATGGCAGACGCGAAGAGCCCTCATGAGATGCTCAATACTTTGTTAGAGACAGTCAAAGTGGTCTCGTACCCCGGAAGCTATGATAATGTCGACGGGCCAGCGTCCGAAAAAGGCAGATCTCCTCTAACGATCAATGCCGATGTCTTGGTCTCCTTGCTACTAGTCGTCGTGATCAGATCTCAGGTTCGACACCTCCAAGCTCGCTTGCTGTACATGCAGCACTTCATCTACATTGACGATGTAGATAGTGGTGAGATGGGATATGCACTGAGCACATTCGAGGCGGTTTTGATGTATCTTGTGACCGACTCGGCTGGTCTGCGCCGATCAAGTACACGGAATCGACGGTTGTGGCAAGCCACCAAGGCAGGTCGCATCTCCGATATGAGGAGCATTCTCGAACCAAATGGGGACCATGAGTCTATTGACGAGACCATCCCGCGTGAACCCGAGCGAAAGTCTGTACTTTTCCAGACTGATAGCTCCTCAGAACCGGATGAATCACCCAACGAAACGTCATCTTTATTCAGCAACTCAATCTTCACGAACGGCCAACCAGTACCAGAGGAGGCCATTGATTTGGATGCGCCCCCTCTCGCACACGTTTTCCCCTTTCAGACGTGGAGCGGTGACTCGCATGCGAAGGACTACCAGCGACCAATAAAGAAGGTCTCCATGGATCTTCGCAGCTTGTCAGAGTCATCGGCTGTCTCTTTCCTTTCCAGGACGCCTACAATTGGGTCAATGACAAGTAATATCGAGGGCGATAATTCATTGGAGACTCTGACTAAAACGCAAGATCCAGCTGGAGATTCGATTCCCATGATGGCAGTGGAAAGCCGCCAAACCGAGTCTTTGAAGTATCTACTCAGTCTGGAAGAATACTATCCCTTGGAGGATATCCTTGAAGACACAAACGCGGATGGAACAACTCTGCTCAATGCAGCCGTGCAGCTCGCGCATGCCGAGTGTGTTGAAGTTCTGCTTGACTTCCTGTTCAGCAAGACCGACGAGAGTGTAGTCGCCAGGTACTTGACCAAATCTGATGTCCACGGCCGGACGGTGGGCCACTATTTGTTCAGCACGCCTTCTTTACTGTCTCGGCTCGGCAACCTTCTTCCTTGGCGACAGCGCGATAAGCATGGGCAAACTCCACTCTTCGCCCTTTGTCGATCCTATGACCATCCCCAGTACAAAATGATGGTCCAAGCCGGCTTGACAGCAGCTCAGAGAGCCCAAGGAAATGGGAAGCCTCTTCAGCTTGATGACCATGTGGATATCAAGGGCAACACGTTGCTGCATATTGTCGGAGATCCAGACATAACGACGCGGATCCTCCAGGAGAGCGATTGCGATCCAAATGCAACCAACGACAAGAGATTCACACCATTAATGATGGCCAGTAAATACGGGCGGGTGGATCAAGTCCGGATTCTGTTCATGGATCCCAGGGTCGATGTTCATGTCAAGGAAGCTCGCGGATTGACTGCAGTGGAACTGGCAAAGGATGACGAAGTACGAAACCGTATCGACGATCTAATTCTGCTATCACATCCACCATCTGCGTGTGGAGATCCCTCGGGCCGTGTGACTACCGTCGTCCGATCATTCTTCGTCGAAGATGCGACGGTCCGCTTCATTCTCAAGTCCGGTGCACCATTCCCACCCTCGGAATCGATGGCAATATCTCGACCAGGTTCGACAACGTACACAGTCACAACGTGTCGTCGCAGCTTCAACGACTTTGAGAACCTCGCCAAGTGGCTCGCCGTGGAGCACCCGGCGTCCTATGTGCCATCTCTCTCCGATTTCCGGAACCCATTCCAAATACACTCGAAACCATCTCGCTCCGTTCTGCATGATCTTCAAGAAAAGCTAGACCGGTTCCTGAAAACCCTACTCACTCATCCGACCTTCTCCACCCACGAGATGCTATGGGAATTTTTCCTGGTTCCCGAGCTCCAACCCGAGATGATGGCCGACCGATCCCGACGCAAGGCAGCCGTACTCACCGAGACCATTGCCGACGAGTACGCACCCGTTTCTCTCGAGGGTATGCGTGATACGGAGCAATTCGTCTCACACGCTCAGGACATGGTGCGAGGCGTACACGTCAACACACGTAGCCTGATCCGACGCGGACATGCCCTACACAACAGCGCCTCCGACCTCGCAGACGCAGTCACTCTCTGCTCGAGCGTACTCTCCACCCTCAAAGAACCTACCAACGCTCTCCCGCCCACCTACATAGACGCCTTTACCCGCTACGGCACCTACCTATCAACCTCAACCTCCGACTCCTCCCCTCTCCTCCAATTCCTGGCCGCACTCACATCCATGGACAACACCACCGCCGCAATCCTCACATCCCTATCCCGCCCCCTAACCCTCATGTCCACTCTCACATCCACAAATCGAAGCATCTCCCGCTCCCGCTCCTCACTACTCTCATCCTCTCTCCCACGCAAATTCAACATCAACCTTCCCGGTTTCGAAGAGTCCCGACAAAAGTCCGTCCGCGATCTTGAGCAAAAGATTCGCGATGGCGAACTCCAGTCTTCGCGCCTTGCGAAAGAGGTTACTTGGAACAAGGACGTTGTCGTGGGCGAGCTAGCCGGGTGGACAACGTGGCGGGAGAAGGTTGGTCGTGATGCGATCCGCGCCTTTGTGAAGGATACCCTTGTTCGGGAGAGGGAGCGGGGGAAGAAGATTGAGCGTTGTTTGCGTAGTATACGTGAGATGAAGCCATAAGCCAAAGTCTACTGTGATCCCCCTTTTTTTGTCTTTCTGGTTCTGCTTGGCATGACATGTTCGGATAGATCTGCAACGAAATACTTTGTTTTCCAATTTTAGCGTGGTTCGCTATGGGCTAACGGGATTCTTATGATTGGCTTTTGTTTTCTCCGTAGACATTTCATGATGAATATATGCCCGGGTTTTCCTTTGCTCTCTAAGATTAGTTTCGTGGTCGCCTGTTCTGTGTTCGGCTCTGAATATACAGAAGCCGGTTGATTACATTCCTCTCTCAGCTTGTTGTACCCATCAATAGCTTCGGGCGATTGTACGAGGATATGAGTCCAAATAAATCCCAGGGATACTGACAGGTTCTTCGATAGGTAATTATATCTGGATTGAAGCAGGAAGACTAGAGGGGTTTGAAAAATATACCTTTGCTCATACACGCCACACCTTCCATGTAATAACACATCGTAGCACCCCGAGCACGCCAACTCCAACCTCGCCATAAAGTAATACCCAAGATACTTCATACCGATGATAATGAATTCTGAAAAGGCCCACTCGAAAGCACTAGCCCCGTTCTCAACCCGCTTCCTCGGAAGAGCGGAACAACGGCGATGGAGTCGATGGAATAGAAGGCAGCTGGCCTGAACCGCTAGACCCCGACTCAGGAGTCGGAGACAAAATAGTCGGAGACAAAATAGTCGGAGACAAAGTAGTCGGAGACAAAGTAGTCGGAGACAAAGTAGTCGGAGACAAAGTAGTCGGAGACAAAACAACGGTATTCTGCGAAGAGCGACTCCCCGAGCGAGCATGATACCGTCTCAAGCTCGTACTCCCAACATTGCTCAACCGAGCACTACCATGCAGTGGTCCCTGCGCAGACAAACGACTCGAAGCCCGCGAGTTGTTTGACAGACGAGACTGATTCTCGCGACTGGTCATCGAGCCAGTCTCGGTTGAACTGGTAGTTGAGGTCCATACCTGGGATGACCGGGTTGTCGGCGGTGCAGTTGACGGAGGGTCCGGGGTAATCGTTGAGTGACAATCTGTTGAGCTGGTGATCGTTGTCCATAGCTGCGACGAGGACATTGACGCTCGTGGTGTAGTAGAGTCGGGAGACGCCGGCTTGGATGAGGAGTTGGCCGACGTGCTCTGCGAGGTTGGGGTAGTCGTCAGCTCCGACGAAAGCAGACTGGGCCGTGGCCCATCCGTCGAAATACGAGTCAACGTCTCAAGTTTGGTCAGGCTATTGCTCGACGGGGCGTAGCCATTTCGGCCCTGTTTGTTCGGGCCTGGACGCTCCGCCTCGTCAACGACGAACGTGATGGAGGGCGAGCGGCTGCGACTGAACATGAGCGAGGTTCGTGCGTGCGGGACGTCCTTCATGAGGAAATCATCCAAGGTTTTGCTCGTGTCTTCGCCGAGGGTTATTTCGGACTGGCCAAAGTCCTGGTTTTGGGTCAGCAGTTTGTGTTGTCGGCGTCTTCGTCTGTGTCGGATATACCATAGGGCAAGGAAGGCAAGTGCAGCAAAGGTGATAATGCCCAGGACTGTGGCTGCGGCGATCGAGGGTTTGCCGCTGAAGAGAGATGGTGATCTGCTGGTGATGGCCAGGGGTCTTGTTGTCGAAAGCGAGTTTGCGATGGCGTTGGGTAGATTTGCGTTTGAGAAGCGATCTGCTTGTCCATCTTGATCGCCCGAATCTGTGGCTTTTCCTGATTCTCTTCTCTTCTGCTGGCGAGTGCTCTCCGGAACGAGCGTGCTTATAGAGTTGTGGAACCGGTAGACAGTTGTCGCGGGATCTTGTGTTTCTTTGGAAGGTATGATATAGTCCAAAGTCTCGAGGGTATCATTCAAGGACAGATCCATGATTTGTGGCAGTGTCCTTGGTAATTCCAGCTGCCTGGATTTTGAGCTTCAAGGTAGGAAATCAAGAGTAGGATATTGAGCGACTGGATGGAAATCGAGGGGGGCAGCTGCCCGTACAGCCACCGGAATTAATGCACCCATTGTGACTTCCTTTTAGTTGATGCTAATGATGATATCCAAATTGGCATGCGAAGGGGTGCTTTGAAGGCAAGAACATCCCTCACAGTAGACAGGAGCTACCGAAGCCGTATGACGTGCAGGGTGCGATACGAAGTATACAGTTGCGCCACAACTTCATTTTTAACAGCAAGAACGACCAAAACCAGAATCCACGCACACGACACGGCCAGTCCCGACGATAACCCCACTAGTGCATCTGTACTTCGATCTGTAAATAAATTCCCCCAGACTTCCGACTGGCTCTCCCCAAGTCCAAAACTGACTAATCGTCCTTATCGGACACCTACGTCATCGGCCAAGTGGGCATTATATAGTAGCCTGCGCGCCTTGACGTAGCAGACTCTCCCCGCTGAACTTGACCATATCAAAGACACTGTTTGTGAAACTTATAATTACCTAGATCCTTACATTTTATTTTGTTCATCACCATGCCTCTCGTTGTTCCTGGGATCAACTCCAACATGGGCGACAAGTCCGAGTGGGTCAACAAACTGATGGGAAAGAAGATTAGCGACAGTGGAAGTGATGAGCTTGTACGTCTTCAAGTTTTATGAGAAATGTGATTATCTCGTGCTGACTCCATGTGCTGCTAGTCATTTGCGAAGAAGGACCTTCCTCAATCCCACCGCGTGCTGAAGCCGGATGATATGAAGTCGATGGACCATAACCCTGATAGGTATGCTGAAGCAACACCCTTCCTCACGTACATTTGAATGGATCTTGGAACTAAATCGATGTTTTGTGCCACGAGACTGATTATTTCTATAGACTGAACGTCCATGTTGACCACGATGGCACCGTCCGAGATGTGACCTACGGCTAAGGGTTGACCAGTACCCATCTCGATCACCACAAAGTCACGAGATAACGATTTAGATGCAATACATGTCCTTTCACTTCTATGAGCGAGATTTATCTAGCTCGTGTACATTCACTCATGAAACACACATATTGGAACTATCTCAATCTATACCCAAGAACCTCTATAACTGGCCTAAATCCAATCCCAAATTCCCCTTCACTCAGCCTTCCACCTCATCAAGGTAACCGACAACTTGGGGAACATATAAAGGCCCTGACCATCCCACTTGGACTCCTGAATAGCAACCTCCTCCTTGCCCTTCATATTCGTCGCGGCCACCCCTTCCCCAGTCACAGTAAACACCTCTACATCCCCAGTAACCCCCTCAACCTTAGTCTCAAAGCTCTTCTGCTCATGAATATTCACAACCACCAAATTAGCAAACCCATCCTCGCCGACGGAGGCACTAACATCCAACCAAGGCGTCTGCACCGCACTCCGCAACCAAACGGGCGCCGTGGCCCCCTCATACGTTCCACACGAAACGTGCGCACTAACCGTCCACCCACGCATAAACTTGGAAAACAGATACAACGGCCACCAAGTCGTCTGCTTCACGATACCTTCCGGGGTAGTCATGAGCGGGGAGATTACGTTGACGCTCTGCGCGATACAAGCCATGCCCAGATCCCGACTCTTCCGGATGAACACGTTCAGCCAGATTGCGACGGCGAGAGCGTCGGAGAGGGTGTAGCTTTCTTCTGCGCCGCGGCTTCCCTCGGCGCGGATGGGATCCCAGACGTTCCACTCGTCGAAGCAGATTGTTGGGCGGGGCTGGGAAGGGGGAACGCCGTTTTCGATGCGGGCGAGGTCGATCAGGGAGGAGGTGATTTCGATGGCACGTTCGGCGGCGAGCGGGGCTGTGGCGTTGGGGAGGTGCTCGTTTGAGCTGGTGTAGAGGTGGATGCTGTGCATGTCGACGAGGGGCACTGCGCTGGTGGACAGGGCGGAGTGGGCGGGGAGCAGGCAGTGCTTGAGGGTGTAGTAGTCCCAGGTTGCGGTGCCGTCCTGGCCACAGAGGATGAGGATGAGGCTGGGGTCGAGGAGCTTGAGAGCTGGAGGAGGGATGGGAGTTAGTTTATTTGGATAATGTGGGGGAATTGAGTACATAGAGATGACTGGTGGATATTCACCTTTGGCCCACTGCAGTGCCTTGTGGGCGTATGCTTCTTTGGTCATCTGCTCGACTTGCCATGGACCCCAAGTCTCGTTTCCGAGGGCCCAGTATTTGACCTGATACATGGTAAGTGGGTGCGTCTTTCTTCGAAATGGGAGATGACATATACATTGTATGGCTCTTCACGGCCGTTCTTGCGGCGCATGTTGGCGTAGTATGTGTTGCCCGTGCCATTGCAGTATTCCACCCACGCAAGAGCTGCAATCGTCAAAGATTAGCCTAAGATATTCATCCAATGGATGATCGAACTATATCGATTGCTGCATACCTTCGTCCAGTGTACCAGTGCCAAAGTTAAAGCACAGGTAGGGCTCAGTGCCGAGAACCTCACACCACTTCATAAACTCGTCCGTACCAAATTCGTTCGTCTCCGTGCCCAGCCAGGCAAGTTCGGGGCTAAAGAAGGCTGTCAGTCATGAAGCATTCCACCAGGTGGTAGACGGTGATGATCTTACCGGGAGGGACGCTGGTCCTTAGGACCGACACCATCGAGCCAGTGATAAGTAGCGCAGAAGTTGCCGCCAGGATAACGAACGACGGGAATATTGAGGTCTTTCAGCGCGCCGAGAACGTCCTTGCGGAAGCCGTTCTCGTCGGAGAGTGGGTTACCGGGGTCATAGATGCCGCCATAGATGCATCGGCCCATGTGCCTATCGAGAACGAATTAGTTCCTTGTTCAATCTTGAGGAGAGTTCTCAATCGAGTAAAAGTACAAAAAGCAGGAAACAGCACTGCTATAGCCTCTGCCAGGGATAAAGGGCATGACTCACTCAGTAAAGCCAGCATAGATATTGGGGTTGATCTTCGAGACGCGGCGGGAAGGATGGACAGCGATGACCGGGGTCTCATGGTCCTCGAGCTTAGTGAAAGAAGTCATGATGATTCGCTAGCGCTATCCCAGGACTGTTGAATGCCTTGAAAAAATATGGGGGAGCTTTAGTCTCGATCCTTTTTACTTTTGACAAAAAAAAATAACCAAATCCGTTCAGTGATCTTGTCCCCTTTACAGACGACTCCGGTGGCTTTCACTTATAGAGCAACGAAGCACCAGAGCCAGAAACCCGAGCCAGATTTAAGCCACGGCCAAGCCAACGAAAGAAATCAACCGATCGTACGTGAACGGTTAAATAGCCAGAAGAATCACCAAAGAAGACTCACGTTGTTTACTCCCGAAGTACTCCGTCCGAGTATGGCTAATAGCAACAAAGAATTGGCCACGCGATAGGCCAAAAGCGACCAGTGGGAAAAAAAATTAAGTAACTGAAAGGAACAAATCCCGGTTCGTCCCTAGGAAGCCAGCCGCCAATTTATCTCACGCCCTTCAAATCGCAGTCCTGGAAATGGTAAATCTCCTGCGGGGCCGAGTCTCGACCACTTCATGCCGAGGAGCTGGCATGCCACCACCAGACCCGGTCGGGAATAGTAGCCCGCTTGGAGCCACGCTTAACGAGGGGCCTTTCCCCCAAAGCATTCATTGTGCGGATGGAGGCCAATGAGTGGGATGTGCAGGGCTGGTATCTGAATGGTAAAAGTTTGGCGGGGCGCGTTTTCCCATCAATCATCACCCGAGGTGGAGAGTTGTCGACGAGTGGTCGCTGGGGTTATCCAAGTGGGCTGGCCCCCCCGCAATGGGACAAGCACGGAAAAGCCGCATTAGCGGCCGGCCCGGGGGGTTTCTCTTTTGGAGCTACTGGATGGGGAAAGGGACTTGGGAACCCCGGCAATTCTTGATTTGGGCTTTCTCAGTTGGCTGTTGGTTTTGGCTGGTTTTGGTTGGTTGGAGTTTAGTTGGAAGAGGACGCTGGCCATACGATGGATCAATCTGGTGGCTGACCAGGAGGATTTACTCCGAAAGCTGCAGGCTGCGCGGCCGTGGTGTTGGTATATCTAGAACGTTTTTCCCTGCTCTCTGAACGGTGTGGAGGTCCCCAGATTGCTTTTAAAACCCCCGGTCTCTTGCTGATCGTGGGTCTTCTTGTGGATTCTTTTGTCTTGGTGGAGTTCATTCGACTCTTAGTGCTACGAGCAAGTCGTTCATCATGCGTCTCTCGCCGTCATGGTACCAGGTATGATTCTTACTATATCCCTGATCATTTCCAGAGATGGGTGAATCTAATTGCGGATCTAGTTCCTAGTCGGCGTGTTTGCCTCCCTGGGTTCATTCCTCTATGGATGTACGTATACTCCATGCCCTAATCCGTCATAGATCTAGAGTATACGTACTAACACGACTTAGATGATCTCGGTGTTATTGCAGAGGTCATTGTGTGTGACTCTTTCGTTTCCAAGTTTGCTGCCAACTCTACCCAGAGGTGAGTTTCCCTTCGTCATATTGGATTCGGCATGGATTCGGCCGTCCTAATTCGTAAACAGTGGCCTGGTTGTCTCCATGTTCACCTGCGGTGCCTTCTTCGGTGCCGGCTTCGCCGGTCCCAGTGGTGATTACCTAGGTCGACGCAAGACCATCTCTCTGGGTTGTCTGATGTTCTGTTTGGGAGGTTCTCTCCAAACCGGTGCCCGAACCCTGCCCTATCTGTACAGCGGTCGATTCTTTGCTGGTTTCGGGTGAGTTTCTTTCAAGGCCCAAATCTGCCATCTTGTGAATGCGCATAGCTAAATGATTCCGAAAGTGTCGGTTTCCTGACCATGGTCATTCCTCTGTACCAGGCTGAGATCTGCCACCCCAAGATCCGTGGCCGAGTCACCGCGCTGCAGCAGTTTATGCTCGGTGTCGGCGCCTTGTGCGCTTCGTGGATCTCTTACGGCACGTATATCGGATTCTCTTCGACCAACAATGCTCAGTGGCAGGTTCCCTTGGGTATCCAGATTATCCCTGCTGTCTGCCTGGGTCTGCTGATCACTGTTTTCCCCGAGGTACGTCTGAACCTCATTCTTATACATCTCTCCAAGAAATACCTGACTTAATATCTTCCAGTCTCCCCGTTGGTTGATTGATCACAACCGCCCAGAAGAGGGTCTCAAGACCCTCGCCAAGCTCCACGCTCATGGAAACGAGTTGGATCCCTGGGTGCAGGCCGAGTACGCCCAGATCCAGGAGAGCATCACCTTTGAGCACGAGAACGAGGCCAAGTCGTACGTGGAGCTATTCACGAACCGGTCTTCTTTCCGCCGACTTTTCCTCTGCTGTGCTATTCAAGCCTCTATTCAAATGACCGGCGTCTCTGCGATTCAGTAAGACCATCCCTAATTTATCCTTCCCATTCAATCCCAACGCAAGGCCCAATCTCACATCAACGCACAGATACTACTCCGTCGACATCTACAAGCAAATCGGCATCTCCGGCGAAGCCACCCTGCGCTACCAAGCCATCAACTCCATCATCGCGCTCGTCGCCCAATTCCTCTGCATCCTCTTCATCGACCGCTTCGGCCGTCGCTGGACCCTAATCGGCGGCAACCTCGGCAACTGCGTCACGTTCATCATCGCAACGATCCTCCTCGCCAAATTCCCGCCTACGACGATCAACAGCGGCGCCCATTGGGGCTTCATTATCATGACCTGGCTCTACAACTTCTCCTTCTCCGCAACCTGCGGCCCGTTGTCCTGGATTATTCCCGCCGAGGTCTTTGATACCCGGACTCGATCCAAGGGTGTCTCTATCGCGACGGCTGTCTCGTTTGCGTTCAATACGATGATCGGTCAGGTGACGCCTATTGCGATGGAAAACATCAAGTATCGGTATTACTTTTTGTTCGTGATTTGTAATTTCACGAATGCGGTCTTCTTTTATTTCTTGTTGCCCGAGACCAAGAAGGTGCCACTCGAGGAGATGAACTATATGTTCTCGCATGCGCCGTGGTTTGTGCCGGGAAGTAAGAAGGAGGATTATTTGCCGCATGACTTGGAGAGGAAGGTTGAGGAGCAGGAGGTTAAGCAGAATGCGGTGCATTATGATTAAAAAGGGGGGGGGGAGAGGTCGTTGGGAAGTGGGAGTTTGAGTTGGGATTGTTCTGAAGAAGGAAGGGAATGGGAGGGCGGTGTTGGATTGAGGAAACCCATGTGTGGAATAAGACTGTTGCTCGTTGAGATATAATACATATTCATTCTGAATCCGAGTCTGATCCATATCCTACCAGTCCCAGCGCGGCCGGTGCTGGTTTAGCGGGCTGCTTAGTATCCGTCGTAGTCGTTTCTGGTATACTCGAAAGTGCCTTGGTCTCCGATACACCCTTGACAGCATTTACAGCCGTCGTTGGGCTGTAAGTGTTGGTCACAGGCGTAGACGTAGCCTTGGTAGCTGCTACCTCATTCTTCGCCGTAGCCACGCCACTCTCGGTCAGCGAAGCTTTACGCTTCTTCCCCGGAATTAACGCATCCTTCCCCTTGTCCCTCCTCCTCTTCCTCGCAGGGATAGCCCAGTCCTCCTCCTCCGCAGGCGCAGGGGTCACATCCGATGCGGTAGACCCCAACATCGCCTTCTCCGCCTCCTCGCGCTGCTTCCGGAAGACCTCCAGCTGATCGGCCGTATCCTTCTTCACGGCCTCTTCCTGGGCGCGAGTGGACTCCAGCACCGAATCTAGAAAATCAATTTCGTCTTCATCCAGCGCGCGGAATTGGTTCTTTAGCCGGATCTTCTCTTCGAACTGTTCTTGTTTCGCCACTGTTCGTCACGAAAGTCATCCTGACATGTTAGCCGCGCGTCCCTATATTGGTTCGTCGTCTGCGACCGGCATGTAGCCTATAGCATTGTATACCAAGGCCGGTGGGCGGTAGGCGAGCTTTAGCCGAACGGCGCCACCACTCGAAATGCCGCGCGGAGGGATGTGAAAGGGAGAATGCGGGGAGCTCACTTTTGTTCTGCTGTAGCACCTCGAACAGACTCTTCCCATCCTTCTGCTGTCCAGCCTCGGCTTTAAGCCGTCGCTCCTCCTCTAGCTCTTTCTGCGCCCTAATCCAGGCATCATCACGCTCCACGGGCTCCTCGTTCGTCCCGGCTGACACGAAACCGGACGACATGATGAATGCGGAGACGAAAGTCGGGGTAATTTCGAGGGAGGGGTAGGAGGCGTGTGGGGGATCTGATCTGCGCAGCTATATTTCCCGAGGGATGGAGCTTGGGGCTCTAAGGCGCGAGCTTGAGCTTGAGCTCGGGTATAAAGCGAGAGGAGCTCGGGGAGTGCGCGTAAGCAATTTACCCGCTAGGTAGTGGCGGGGATTGGCGGGACCTTCGTAATTCTCGGGGAGTAGGAATTGGACCGAGCGAAGAAGGCGGAACTTCGGGAAGGAGTAAGATTGAAGAGTTGGAGGCAGTGAAGTTTGTCGGGAAGGTGAGGTGTCGGGTGTGGAGGTCGAAGTTCAACTGTGGGGAGTTCGGGCCAATTGAGCTTGGCGGAATCGGGTTTGTTGGTCCCTGCATTTACCCGGCCTTTTGAAACTGGATTAGATAATGAGAATGAGGGTTCTGTCTTGAGGTATCTTTCAAGACACGTGGAAATCAGGGCCTACCTAACTATAGACTAGATCATTGTATTTGGTGATCATTTCCCTACCTCGTCTACCAAGTCCTATGCCCTGATATACACCTTCCCACCCTGTTCGTTCTCCCCGCCTCAGACCCGTGCCTGATTCGTTTGATGGGACCACAGAAGCATCCAGAAAGGGGATAGCTACTTCCCCACTCTGATATAAAGCATGGCTTTGATTTGACGTGATAGATATAACTGCTCTAAGATCCGCCCCTCCACTACGACATCATCGCGGCTTGGACCTGCCTACTTTACAACGGCCTTGGTCAGATCCGCCCGTTGCTTATAAAAGACCCTCTACCTTTTAAATCCATCAATGTATCCTCCTACCTCTTCCCTTCAACCCTTCCCACCAATTGCCCATTTCCACTTACTACCGCCATAATGTCCAAGGAGCACACCAAGTAAGCCTTCTCGCTCGTCACTCCACTCTCCGCACACGCGATCTAACCGTTCTCCCCTTCTCCCCCTTCTCCAGAAAGACCTACACCCTCAACACCGGTGACAAGATCCCCGCCATCGGCTTGGGGACGTGGCAATCTAAGCCCAATGAGGTCCGCGAGGCTGTCAAGAACGCCCTGCTAAAGGGCTACCGCCACATCGACACGGCCCTGGCCTACGGCAACGAAGCCGAAGTCGGTGCCGGTATTCGTGACTCTGGCGTGCCCCGAGACCAGATCTGGCTTACCACCAAGCTCGACAACACCTGGCACCACCAGGTTGAGAAGGGCATCGAGTCCTCTCTCAAGGACCTGGGCGTCGACTATGTCGACCTATACCTGATGCACTGGCCCAGCTCGACCGATCCCGAGGATCGATCCAAGCACCTGCCGGACTGGAACTTTATCAAGACCTGGTGAGTCCCCGGTCCATGTTCCATGTTCCCTGATCCCTCTATCCGTTACTCCGAGTATACCAGCAAGAGCAAAATGCTAAAACACCTCTTTCAGGCAAGAACTGCAAAAACTCCCCGCAACCGGCAAAGTGCGCAACATCGGCGTCTCCAATTTCGGTATCAGAAACCTCGAAATCCTCCTCAACGACCCCTCTACTAAAATCGTTCCCGCCGTGAACCAAATTGAACTCCATCCCAATAACCCCTCCCCCAAACTGGTCGCCTACAACACCTCCAAGGGCATCCACTCCACCGGCTACTCCTGCCTGGGCTCCACCGACTCCCCTCTGTACAAGGACCCGACTCTGCTGTCGCTGGCGGAGAAGAAGGGCAAGACGCCGCAGCAGGTATTGTTAGTGTGGGGTATTCAGAAGGGGTGGAGTGTGATTCCCAAGTCTGTTAGTAAGGCGCGGATTGAGGCCAATTATGAGATTGATGGGTGGGAGTTGAGTGAGGAGGAGGTTGCGCAGTTGGATGGGTTGAAGGATCGGTTTAAGGTTTGTGGGGATGCGTGGTTGCCTATTAAGGTTTTCTTTGGAGATGACGAGTAGATTAAGGTTGGGTTTAAGGAGAGAGTTTGGGATTAAGGTTATGCATTATGGATAGGATTTAGGTATAGAATTTGAGTGATTATGTTAGAGGATTTCTCAAGGGCGTTAGATTCGTAATATTGATAGCATCACCTGGCGGGAAGCGGAAGGCGGAGTTAGTGATGGAAATGGAAGAAGCAGAGGTATCGTTTGAGTGTTCAGATGTAATGGAGGAGTAGAATGAAGCAGAGGAACTGGAAAGCGGAGGAAAGAGCAAGAAGTAAGGGTCTTTAACCCACTGCATGCATACATCTCGCTCCTGCCATATGGATTCATTGGTGTGCACCAGCTAATTATCCATCATGGCCCGGACGCAAATAGCATAGTCTGGTCTGGCACTGCCATGATGGATGCCCAATCAACCACTTGTCGGCTCTTTGCAGACATACCCCCAATCAAACAGCATGGCATTATTCTCAATCCATGTCGTTTGGAACCAGCTTTATCCTTAGTAGAAAATGGCATTGAAGGACCACCGAGTCCGCTTTCACCTGCTCCCCGCTCGGTAATGCCCTCTCGGGCTCCCGCGTCGAGGCGGAGTCCGAGGAAGCCAGCATCTCTTTATACACGGACGGATCATAATCCGAGGATAAAATCTCGGTGCCTGCGCAAGCTTCTCCTTCACCCAGGGATGTTTCTCATTATACGCAAAGTGCACTTGATCCGACATGCCAAAATACATGTCATATCTGTACGACTCCGGGGTGAGCGGGTTGAACGGCTTCCCATCCATCCCCGGCGTACTCGGTCCGAGCCAGACTTGCTCGGGGTGTTCGATACTCGCATACTCCGCGCGGTCAGCGTGCACCCAAGCCTGATACAGCCATCGAGTCATCGTATCGCGCGTCCAATTGCGAATCTTGTACTGGAATTTCGGAGTGAAAAGCTCATCAAAGAGTTGGATCGTTTCGGGTAATTGTTGACTCGACGTCAATGCCAGATGATGGAATTTCTTCAACGTCTGCGTATCCGTCGGATCGACCAGTTGGATATACTCCTCTCCCAAGTGCCCGAACAAGCCGGACAGAAGCAACTCCTTCCGCGAAAGATGGATGATCACCGACATCTCCAAACAAACCAACCACTCTTTGAGTTGGCGCAAATTCACCCAGTCAAATGTCTCGGTCCTCAAACTCAACGCACCCCTCAACCTCGTCTCGGCAATCATCGCCCCCGAATATTGATCCGCGAAATGGAAAAAGTACGGATCCGGATTGTCCAGTGGCCAAAATACGACTCCCTCGAGGCCCGGGGCCCAATACTGCGCCACGATGTCCGTCGTCGCGTCCGACCATATACTCTTAATGTAATTCGGGACATGGGAATCGTCCTCTTGAAACAGCACCCGGCCCGTTTCATGGGCGACGGCTCGGGATTCCCAACATACCCGGGTGATCACGGGCGGTCTCCAGGTTTCGCGGGATGCCCAGCCGGACCCGCGACAGTGGGAATCGTCGTAGACGAAGCAGGGGAGCATGAGATCGAAGATGCGGGTTTTGGGGAGACATGCTTTCCAGATCAAGCGGCGGAGTTCGGGAGGGAGTTGAGGGAAGAGAGTGAATTCCTCGGCCATGGCTGGCGGGGAGGGGAGAACCCAGGACGAGAGAGAGGCTGACCCAATTCCATTCTCTCAAATCTCCATTTACGGGGAGGGGGTAATTCATGGTTATTTCTTTATACAAATGGAGATGAAAAAAAAAGTACTACGTCCGGTACTCTGTGAAGAGGGCAGCTCTCGCCACTGGTAAGAGAAACTACGTGCACTTGACCGGTTCGGGTTAGATCCACGAACCATTTTTGCACTTTACAGAGGTCACGCATGCCGATGGTCAAAGAATATCGAGTCTGGCTGCACGGGAAGTGGCGAAAAGGGTCGTGTTTATCGGCCTAGATTGCTCAATGTCGGTCGCAGAAGGCTCGGCAACATAAGACATGGGAGGTCGAGGCCGAAGGCGAGAATCTCGGATGTCAGCGCCGGCCAGACAATCGGTCGGAACGCCAAGTTTTTTTCCGCGCTAGTCAAGCAGCTCGCGTAGCAGAGTCGGGCTATTGTTGGTATGGAACCACTATCAGGGGCTGAATGAGGGAATTTTCGTTGACTTGGACGGTTCAGTCCATTGGGAAAATCTTTTTTCAAGAGGGGTTCTCCGAAGAGAATGAAGAGACGGTAGTCCGTAGTCGAGTATCGGAGCCGATCTATTCAGTCCACGTGGATCCAGGGGGTTACCGAGCTTTGGTCCGAGTTTGGTCCGACAACCACCAACACGCAAGGATGCAATAGAATTGTCGTGTGTATCGCACGGGACATGCCATCCACACTGGACCAAGTGCCATGCCAAGGCCTCACGGGTGCGGGATCGATCTGCCTCCCGAAAACACGGGGAATGTTGGGCTCTGGTAATGACTACTCTCAGGGCTGAACAAGGGACGAAGCGACCGTGCATTTCCACCCAATCAGGAAGCTCGGTCTTTCATTTGGTTATAGTTTTGACGTTCCTCTAGCGTGAACGAGTGATTACCGTTCCAGGAGTCTGCTCCGTGGACTGGATGCGGACCAGCCCATTTGGATGAATCGGGGTGTGTGGCGGACCATTGCGCGTACGAATCCGCTCGTCATATACAAGGCCTACCCCAGAATCTCCGGCTTGCGTGTTTCAAGAACTATGAAATGGTTTCCTCGGACGATCGTGAGCAGATCACAGGGAATGATAGAGCAGCTCAGAAACATCCACTAGTTCTGGACTCGACCACATGCCAAGAGGAAAACTAAGGAAATGCCGGGGTAAGATGGGTCCTGACGGTCGTGACGGTCGACAAAGAACGAAGCCACGCAGACTGGCGAGTTCTCATTGGAGCCCAAGTCCGATTCCCGTTCTCAGAGATGTGACCGGGGAAATCCCTTTGCATCACGGACCCATTCGGGAATGCGGAGGAGAAAAACTAAACTGACTGGTGCGCTTAGACATTCTCGGTTGCTTAGAGATGGGCCCAAGCTGGAACAAGTGACGATTATTAATTAACTGGGGAGGCCCGTGGTACGGGGTTCGCGCGTGGAGGAGAGGGACGGGACCACGTTGGAAGCCAAAGGGATTCGACGATTAAACGCCCCCCAGTCGGACGTCCATCCAGTCAAAAGGCCTCGGCTGGCGAAAAAGCGGGGTTGAGGCCTGGACGGGGAGTCCCGAGCAAAAAGAGGCGAGGCGGGAAATGAGAATTGAGAGCTCGCATGGTCACCGCTGAGAGACTAGGCGGAGATGATTATGTTGATGATGATTATGATGATGAGATTGTTACACCGATCTGACTGAGAGAGATCAACGAAGCGGGAAGGCCCCCCCCCCATAGAGTCAGCGGCGCAGGGAGGGACTCGTAAGGCTGCCGAGAAGAAGGGGAAATCAGGACGGGGGGTAAAAGAGAATTAGAAACCAAATTTCCACGACAGTTCGGACTCGGACTTTTGGATTTTCTGATTCTCTGACCCTATTCCCGATTGACTCGATTTTACTAATTTCCATCGTCTCCCCCCACCCCCGTATTTTTCTTACACGGAGACTTTAATATTCACGTCTAGCGCCTTTTTTTTTTTCTTTCTCTTCTCGTCCCTTTGCTGAACGGTCATAATCCTCTTATTTACTCCCTCTTGGCCTTTCTTTCTTTTCCTTCTTCCCTTTCCCCTCGACCATGCCCCTCTGATTATCCGACTCGTCGCATCTCATGAGCTCACGAAGCACGTTCGGCGTTGATCGGATCCGACCGTCCTGGTTCGCCCTCTCGCCATGTCCCAAGCGCACGCTCCACTTTCCGATGATGGGGACGGCACCTATTCGGGGCAAAATCTGGTGCTGATCCTAAGTATCGTGACCTTGCTCGGCCTCGCCATCTACAACTCCATCGAACTGGTCATCCTCATCCTCTGCACTTTCCGTCGCTGGCGAGGTCTGTATTTCTGGAGTTTACTGCTGAGTGGCTTGCTCGGCGTGGTTCCACAGGCCGTCAGCTTCCTACTCAAGGACCTGGCGCTGGCGCCACTCTGGTTTTCGCTTACTCTTTCGACCATCGGCTGGTATTTCATGGTCACCGGTCAAGCGGTGGTACTGTACTCGCGACTCAATCTGCTGGTGAACGATCCCAGCGTCTTGCGCCGCGTCTTGATCATGATTATAACCAATGCCATCATTCTTCACGTGCCGACCACTATTCTCACGTACGGCTCGAATTTCGCCAAATCCAACAAGGCCGTCTGGCAACACGGTTACGATATTATGGAGCGCATCGAGCTCGTCGGTTTCTCCGTGCAAGAGATGGTCATCTCTTACCTCTACGTGGTGCAGGTGATTCGAAACTTGCGCATCGTGCCCCCCAATTCTCGCATTCACAAAGTTCATCGCAAAACGCTCCACTATGTACTCGCCATCAACGTCTTCCTGATCCTTTTGGACGTGGTACTCCTCATCATGGAGTTCACAAACCGCTACACCATCCAAACCGCCCTCAAATCCCTGGTCTACAGCATCAAGCTCAAGCTGGAGTTTGCGGTTCTCAACCGCCTCATCTGTCTCGTGCGCCCGGAGCAAGTGACTTCCGACGACTACTGGCAACCCTCCCCCAGTCCGAGTCCAAGAACGGCAAATGGACTGGGGCATGAGATGACGGACTTTGGTGGATTTTCAAGGGTTGAGTCTTGCGATACCGCGGCAGTGAGGCATGCCAGGACGCAGGTTGTCAGGATTAACAAGGCGTTTCAATGATGGCGATGTGGTTGTGTTGATACAGTACGGATGGAATTTTCCGAGTAATAATGTTATGACCTTAATGTCTACCCTTCCAGTGGAACTGAAAAAAAAAATGTATTGATACGTGACATGCGATATGAAAGTTGATCTATCACCCAAGTAGTCAGATCGGTCTGAATTAGTATTGAGAGTAGATAGAAGTGAGGACATTTAGGGCTGCCTTCCCACCCGTGATCAGTCGCGACGACACTCACGTGATATTCTACGGCCTGGGTCCAAGTACGTGCTGACTTGATCGAGACCGCTCACCTCCGTTAACCGTGAATTTCATCGGACTCACTCCTGCAAAAGGTATCTCTCTGACAAATCCCACTCAACCCACTCAATATCCAAAGTCAATCTCACTCCATTCCCACACTCTCCTCGTAGATTCCATACTGCCGACCCACAGTGGAACCACACCAGCCACTGCGCCAATCATGCGGGGTCACATGTGTGGCAATGCACCGCCACCGGGGTAATCCTGCCTGAGGCGTCCTGATAAGCCCCGACTCCTCCGTCATCAGGCACTTCTCTCTTCCATCCCTCTTCACGCACTCCAGCGTGTCCATCCATCGAACCTATCATCAGTATGGCGCCTGCCAATGGGCACCTGCTGCTCCCCAAAATATGGCGAGCAGCAAGGTACGTTTGAATCCCGACTTCTCTCGACTCCTCCGATGATGATCTGAGTCATCCGCTGACAACCCCGTGTTACGGTTACTACAGGTTTGCCTATGAAAAGGCTTCCAAGGCTATAAGAGCCAAACTTCCTGAACCGACACAACATGCTTCGCTACGATATCAACCTGCCTATGCCCGCATCAATGCTCGCCAGCCTATCAATCGTGCCGCGGCTATCCGTCAGGCTCGCAGTCGGTACTTCTCGACTCGTGCGGCCGGTGCCTTTGTGTCCGCCATTCGCTCTGGAATCCAGGCCGATGTGAATGCGTACAAGACGACTCGAGTTGCCTCGAACATTGGCAAGCTTACTAGCCGCGCTCCGTTTGCGTCTACACTTCGTCCGAACCTAACCGGGGGAACGCTTGGCCGTACTGCGGGTGGATATACCATTGGTGCTGGACGATTCGGTGGTGCCCGTTATTTCTCTCATGGACCTGCTGCTCCCGCACAGGTCATTCAGAATGTCTCTCAGGGTGTCCGGGCGTTCTTCTTGTCTGGCCAGAAAGTCCGCTTTGATGGGATTGACCCGCATACGGGTGAGAAGCGGTACAAGGCTGTCAGTGTTTTACAGGATCAGGCCGGTCGCAAGATGACCGCTATCCCTCGCAATGCTTCTGGCTCAAGCCTTGACTTCCAGCTGTCTCCCACCATCACCGCCTTTGGTGCCTTCAGCGCTCTGAACAAGAAGTCCGGATCCGCTACTGTCGAGACACTCCACTCCGAGGGTCTTATGGACCTGCTGTCTGCCGACTTTGCCCGGGCTTTGAAGGAGTTTGCTACCGTGTTGAACGACTTGAAGCGTCTCTCGACGTTGGGTGACCTTCCAATTTCCCTGCACGATCGCTCCACGATTCGAGTACGATTCCCAGGTTGTGACGCCGAGACTGTCGAGCGCTTATGCGATGAAGTCGGTATTCAAAGAGGCCGGATCACCCAAGACGAAGACTTCAATCTTCGTACCGGTGCTGACTTGGCTCTCCTGTTCCCCTTTGCTCCCAGCGTAGCTGCCTCTTCCGACACAGAGTATCTCTTCGAAAAGGCCTCAAACCCTCAGACTCACGCATCCAATGACATTGACTGGCACGGCATGCTCACACCGGAATTCGGAAGCCCCTTCTCGGGGGACTCGGGCCATGATTCCGGTCAGGCGATCAGCTTCGAGGATAAAGAGTTATTTGGCAGTAATCCCTGGACATCTTCGCACTCTGCTTACTCGAGCATCAACATCAGTGAGCTTGGAGATCGTCCGTTCTTCCCGGAAACCTCTAGTGCTGGTTTGCTGGAGCCTACTCCGGAGTATGATGCCGAAGGGATTTACAAGTTCCTGGCTGAATGTGAACGTGCACGACGCTGAGCGAGTCACCATGCTTGGATTTGAGCATGGGGCTTTCTATTCCTGCTTTCCCCATCATTCTGTTTTTTTATTTTGATTTGCTTGGCTTTACTGTTGATTCAGGCTAGGCCGGATCCCCTGATGATTGCGCGATACCACTCCACTCACTTGAACATTTCCTTTCTGTCCATCTCTGTGGCTTTGAACACTTTTTAAATGACCAAATTATACATTCTTCTTACACCTCTTTCATAAATACTGTGAGCGATCATCTGACTGACAAAAGGTAATGATCAAGTAGAATATCCCCACATCTCCATGACCCAGATGAACCTAATTCCCCAGATTTCCCCACTTCATGCCAGCCACCTTCCGCCACGTCCAGTCACGACGCTCCATAGATAGAATGATCTTCAAACTATAACACCGCTTGAAACAATCATGTGCAAGTTATCCGTAACTAATTCTCCTCTGTTCGGGCCGTATGCCGTGATCGATATGCGGCTGTCTACAATGTGCCTAAGGATCCCCTGGCCTCCTCTTCCCTTTCTCTTCGGTGATCAATTGGAATGACCAAGATCGACGGGGTTCGTCTACTTTTGCTGCGGGGAGTTTTGCCGCGAAAGATACCCAGAGATTAGTATACTTTTTCGATTCCTGAATGCTATCTGGGTGATTTCACGATTGTGTTGGATCGGAACTTTTAAGTCTCAATTTATCAGCCTCGAAAACACATTGTTCTATGGTGCCTAGTATAGTGACTTCTTAGCATTATATGTACTACAGAGGAAACTAATATGTTCAGAAAACGATTACTGTCATTAGTAAAAGTATGCTCCCATGGAGCAATGCAAATACATTCATCAATATTCTTATGCCCTAACATGTTTCTTGATCTCATAAAGTATTCAGTATGATATATCTGATACTGTGATATCCTTAGACCATGGAAGCAGCCTTGGTTGATGGAATATGAAGTTGAGGGATACTATACTTAGTGTGGTGTCTAGGGTGGCCCACTGGCTTATGCATTGCGGGGGGCCTCAAGTAGGATGGCTTATCCCTTCCCCCTTCCCCTTTCTAATGATTTGCAACTTTGATGCGACTTTTGCCATGGACCCAGTTTGTGAGGAGATGCAACCCCAGGTACGTAACCGTGTACTTCTCCTCATTTTGTATGATCCCTCATGAAATGGAAGGTGTTCTATTTCAACACGGTCCCTATCCGTGCCGAAACCGTCCAAAAGCAGGATCCACGTCGCGAAGTGTACCGCCTGAACCTCGACACATGCCAGGAACTACACGGTCTCCCGACCGTTGTAATCATCAAGAAAATGAAAGAAGGTTGGCACGATGAATTCGAGCACGAAAAGGAAGCCTATAAGAAATTGGAAAGTCTACAAGGATCAGTGATTCCCACGTTTTTCGGCCAAGGGACTTTCAACGGCAGTCCTGTCATCGTCATTTCCGAGGTCGTCGGTAAGACACTTTACGACCTTGCCCATAGCGGGGTTCCTATTTCTTTGGATGAGCTTCAACGTCGACTTGAGAAAGTCATGTGGCGGCTACATTCGTGTGGCGTGGAGTATTTGGACCAGCGACTGGACAACTTCTTTCTCTGCGATACGGGTGAAGTCATGATTGTTGATCTGGAGCAAGTTAGGTTCCCGTTGGATCTTGATGAATGGAAGCACAGCATCAATTATGGGGGCTTGGGCTCTCTGTTATATCTGTTCAATGATATCAGAGAAAGAAAGAGCCGACGCACCCAGGACGACTTTCTGTTTAGAAGACCGTATATTTTGGGTGGCTCGCTTTATTGAAGTCTTGTTGCAAATAGAAAATTTGGCTATTATACCAAGACCGTGTAATTGGAACATGCTGTGGCCAACAGGATATATAACTACTACTTGGTCTGGTTAATCGGGATCTACCCTTTGACCGAGCGCCGAGATCGTGGCGTACATGCTGTTTGTTATGCAACCACGGGGGTACACATAAGTGTCTGAGTCCCCTAATCTCATGACGAAACTGGTCTAGATATTTTTAAGACAACTAAGTCGAATGTCAAATAGAATTAATACAGAACACACCCAAGCGGGTGCTGACGGATAGCGGTCGCCATAGTTTGACAGGATTGAATGACCCATCGAGTTTCTCCTAGTCATAAGAGGTCTTTTCCCCCACTATCTCACGTAAACAGTATCAATTGATCCAGCGGCGCAACTATCACTTACGCCATTTGAATATGAAAATCAAATAGGTAGCGACAACGGCCATCGTGTAATTGAACAGGATGAAGCCAACAAAGATTCCAACATTGTTGCCTCTTTGCGAATATTCAAAGTCATATTGCGTAACCTGTAGAACAGTCTGTTAGCTACAAAAAACTCACTCCATACCAACCCAGGGAATAGGTCAATATGCACTTACATATTGGTCTCCATTAGCGTAACTGCAGTATTCGCACTGGTCAGTAGCGTCTGGATTGACAAGATATCCCGTGGATTTGGACATGTTGAAAAATTCAGCCGCAAAGGATGCACATGTCTCCGAGAGAGGAGCGTTGAACATCTGTATCTCGGATCCCTTGCATGTAATATCCAAAGCGTGCATGGCATTGGTGCCGATACCTTCAATATAGTAAAACAAAGGTGAAATATTATAAAACCAACGCCATCCGCGAGGTGTCAACGGCGGGGGGGATAACGGGCCGTTGAATGTGTTCACCACCAACCAGACAAAACCGGTTGCCGTCTGGGCAGCCAGAACGGTGGGGAAAAGAGCCGCAGTAAGCTGTGCCAGACTCGCGACGAAGAGCGAATAGAGTTCATACATGAGAAAAGCGTAGCCGGCACGATCCGAGGTGTAATAATATCCGACCATGTAATGCCACAGAAGCCAGTATATGAGCCCTCCTAGCAGTGTGAAAGGGATCTCCACAAGCAAAGCACTGATGGTGAAGACGCTCCAATGGTAGACGTGTGACTCATTCTCCCTTGCCAGGAACTGGTCACGCAGAATGATGAACCGGGGCTCGATTTGCAAACTGAGGACGGGCCCGGTAATGACACTCACGAAGATGGAAAACATTCGCCCACGAGAGTCGGCCAAGTCGTTGGATAATTGTAAAAAGGTAAGCCCGTTCATCAATCCCATCCAAATATTGAGTTGTACTTTGCCCAATACATAGTCCGAATCACGCCAGTAGTTGATGAAGGCCCGTCGGGTAATTACACGGAGCTGCTCAAGATAAGGCACCGCAAACGCTTTATCGGACCCCGATGAGCTGGTATCTTCTTTCTCCTGGAGTAAATCCCGAAGCTGCTCCTGTGTATTCAAGAACTCCGGAGACTCCTTCCAAATCTGTTTCGGAAGACGAATGTCAGACACGGCTTATATGAATTGAGAATAAGGGGGTTAAGTACCTGGAACCAATCTGTTTCGGTAGTGGAGCTGACCTCCAATAGATAATCGGCTGGGTTCTCCGTATCTCTGCAGGGCCGTGTATAGCGAGCAAAGTAATCAATGATCGTTTTGCACCGAGGACCAAGTGGGCCAAAGTATGTAGTCTTTCCACCGGGGATCAAAAGAAGCAACGAATCGAACTGTTCGATCATTTGAGATGACGGTTGGTGGATTGTACAGAGGATCGTTTGCCCAGCATTTGATAGCTTACGCATGAGTTGGACAATGGACAAGGCCGAATTGCCATCCAACCCCGAGGTCGGCTCGTCAAGAAAGAGGAGGATGTCCGGTTTGGCCGCCAGCTCAACTCCAATACTTACACGCTTGCGTCTCTCCAGATTCAGTCCGGCTCCTGGTACACCGATGACTGCATCAGCGATATCTTCCATCTCCAATAGCTTGATGATGACTTCAACATGAGCCATCTTCTCTTCCAGAGGGATGCTTTCTGGGCGGCGAAGCCGTGCACTCAACTGCAGAGCCTCTCGCACCGTAGAAGAATCGAGGTGAATATCATTCTGGTGCACAAACCCAGTTCGGCGTCCCATGGATTCTGGCAATGGGCATCCATCGAGATAGAGTCCTCCCGATACAGCACCAATGTTGATCCGTTGGGCAAGGCTGTCGAGAAGTGTTGTCTAGGTTGCACCCGCGTCAGTCGTAGTGTCCCAGCTAAATCTTGAACCTGAACATTATCCACTTGCGTACCTTGCCTGCGCCTGACATTCCCATCAAGGCAGTCATTGATCCAGGTTGAAGCCAACCTGTATGAGTTATCAGCATAGAGCTTCCTCGACCTACTGCGAATATTCTTACCGGAAACTTCGTGAAGCAATCGTTTCCCGTCGCCAAGTTCAAGAGATAATTCTTGCCATGCAAAGACATGCTGATCCGTCTCGAGGCGGCTGTAAGCCGCCTCGTCATTGGAAGTGACATCAGATCCGCTCAAATCGGTGGTCACTGGCGGCTTTTCAACATCTGCGAGATCTGAAGTTGAGGTGTTGATCCATGGCAGCTTCTGATAGTAGATAGTTGACATGCGTTCAGTGGCATTCCGGAATCTCTCCATTCCAATCCTACACAGGGCATCACCCAGGTTTGGTCAGCGATATGGAAGATAAAGGAGGGCATAGAGTAATCCATAAACTGGGAGGTAAAACATACGTCACCAAAATCGCAAAGAAGACAAAAAACGCCGCATTGATACCAACGTTGCGCCACTTGTGGATGTACTTGAAACCGTATTCAGCGAGGATATAAAGATTTCCGGACAGGGTCAGGTCGCCTGGTACAGAACCGGACACTGCGCATGTTTGAAATGTGGTGTCATTGTATGTCGCTCCGCGGGGAACGATGTGATCAGGGCTGCATTGGTAATTGCCGTCCCCGATTTCATTCAGAGCAATGGACTCGAAAATGTAGTACATCGGCTACAAGTGGTACAAATTAGTGAACGCTCACGAAACTCTTACTGCCATATCTCAGACTTACATCAAGGTACCGGATCCATGACAGCCAGACTTTCATCCCCGGTGGAGTGATATAGAAGCCGGTGTACATAATGAACACGTTGAGTAGAAGACCGACTGGAAGAACGGCCCGAGTGGGAGAAGTTGTGAAAACCGCAATGGCCCGAAACATGACGCTCAAAGCCATCAAACCCATATAGAGACAGACGAGCCAGGTAAAGAAATGACCAGCCGTGCGCTGAAAGTTGATCATCCAGTAGATCGGAAGCGAGTACAGAATAAAGATGAATTTCCAAGGAATATCAGCGAGAATTTGCCCAAGGGCGTATGCTCCTGGTCGGTAAAACCGTAAAGCCTTCTGCTTGAGCAAGATTGGGCGCTGGACGAAGGTATTTCCAAACTCAGCAGAAGCTTGTAGACCCATAATGAGTACGCAGAAGAATAGGGCCGAGCAACGCGTATATAGTCCTTGAGTCACATCTTGTTGGTCTCGAAACAAAGTGCCCAGAAGAAGAGCTTGCACAATGGTTCCTGTTGCCTCGGCAATCCAAGTACCCCGATCGGTCAGAAAAATCTGATAATGGCGGATAGTGCACTCGTATATTTGACGATAGAAGGGCAGAGCGTATCCGGAAGGCTTTGGCAACGATGCCGTAGACTGGGGAGCTATGGCTGCATCAACCGACTGCCGATAGAAGCTACTCTCCCAGAATCGGGCCTCGAAATCAGCCGGCCGAATAGGCACCGGTCGTTGCAGGCCATCCTGGGGTGTTCGGCCATCCGGAGTACCTGACATGGATGCAAGGAAATCAGATATGGAAGTGCGCGGCGAGCAATAAAAACCCAAAGTCTCAAAATAATCTTTGGCAGAGGATGCTGGGCCGTAATATGCGATATGGCCTTCATTCAACACCAAGATCTTGTCGAAGAGTGAAACAGCCACGTCGCTGGCTTGGTACAGAGACATTACCGTTGTACATCGGCTGCGAGAGGTATATTTTCGGAGAACGTTGAGGAAGCGAATCGCAGTGGAGGAATCCAGACCCCGTGTCGGATTATCAAAGCAATACAAGCTAAATGCAGTCATAGGTTAGCTCTTTACCGTCTTTTGAAGTCTCATCCTATCCTGCAGACACGACTTGTGAACTCACCTTGCCCGGGTGCAAAAGGCTTCCGCAAGAGATACTCGACGACGCTGTCCGCCACTGATACCACGAATATGATCATTTCCAATGCGGACCCCTGCCGCTTGTTCGAGACCCATAAGTTGTAGTACAGTCTCCAGGTCTTGTTTGAGGTGTGATGCTCGATCAGGATCTGCAGTTGAGTGCCGGGCATTCAGTGCAAACCTATATCTCGGTTATGAGTATGGTTTCTCTCTAGCTATTGGGAGTAGGCAGCACAACGCCTGCAGGATGACCATACCGAAGCGTAGTATTGACTGATAATGATGGAAAATGAATGTCATCCTCCCCTGTGCAGAACATGACCCGTTAGTACTCCCAGAAGGTGCAGCAGTTTTGATTTTAAATGGGTGCCACAGTACCAACAAAAGCAACTTGATCGGGTCTGGTGTTCTTCGCCGTCATAGCATCGAACGACCCGTACCAGACATCGCCCTCCATGGCCAGATACTCCTCACGCATATTGGCTATAGCTTTGAGAGCAGTCGTACACCCGCTACCCGGCCGGCCCACAACCATCAACATCTCGCCCTCGCGAATCGTGCCAGTAAGTTTGCGAAGTAAAACCCGAGACGGAGCAGGCCTTTTAGACCACCAAGCAGCCGGGTTAGCAAGCTTGAGCAACCGATTCAAAGCTTCAGGCACATTGTTCACAAGTTCATGCTATGGCATTGTGGGAAGAATTAGTGAGCTGACATTAGA